TGATATGTTTTGGAATCCGAAAACAAGTAGAGCACTCAGTTTACCACTGAATATCTTGCATCAACTGCGTCAATGAGTTTATAAGCATTGTAAACATTTTTGTATCAATAGATCGTCACTGAAAACATACTTACCATTTTTGACTAGAGTTTCCAGATCCACAACTAAGAAAGCCTTAATAGATAGTTTCCGAGAAAGTGTACCGTTTTTCGGCTTTGCTTCTCTTCGAGACGCGGTGATAATGTGTGCAAAATTCTGTGTGACTACCCACTTATTTCCCGGTCCGGGAGGCGAAGAGTGCTGCCTCCTTGAATGTTCAGAAAACTAAATCCAATTACTTAATTAATTACGCAGTCGAATCTCTATTAAGCTTCACCCTTGGGTAAGCGCACAAGTGGACCGCGCTAAGTAAAGGTTGGTTGCTGCCCTAAGAGGTTCTGTTTACAGTTGCATTTTTGTCCACCGGAACTCTGGTTACAGGGCATTACCCCTTTAAGCCCAAATATCCATATCGAAATTTCTAGACTAATTATTTAACCTTATGAAGATAGTTTCGTTACCTTTTCGATGAGAATTCGCCGTTTGCAAACTTAGTTAAGAAAATCGTTGAAGTCACGGATGGCAGGCACTTTTGATAGTGCACAATCTTCTGCAAGCTTTCAAATAAGGGGAAATTTGGACTAGTGTAACGGTGTATTAAGGATCATGTTGGTACCTTGTACATTAGGGATTGAAGCAATTCTTTTAAAACCCATTTGGGCGTACCATATGAACTTATTTTCCATTATTTAGCCATGATAGTTTTTTGAGATTATCATAGAGTAAACCTGTGTGTAAACAACGTCACAAAGTCTTGTGAAATTTAGAAGAAAAAACTTTTAACAAAGAGATTGTCGAAGTAGTAATTGCCACTAGTCGTAGCAAAAAAAAAAAAAAATAGAGGCGAGTTGTGCAGATATAACTTCTTGTGACCGATGTTTTTTTTCTTGCTACGCCGGAAAGCTTTCAACCAAAAGCTACACGAAATATTTTATTCGTAATAAACAAATTAAAATGATGGGTTTGTTTAATCATTACCCTTGCATTCTTTCCGTTTCTCTACCTTTTTTTTTATTTATTTTATTATTATTATTTTTTTTATTGCAAGTAATACACACACAGAAAAGAAACAAAAATTACACAGAATAAATAAAGTAATAAAAAGAAAAAAAAAGTAACAAATAAAGTAACAAAAAAAAAAACAAATAGCGAATTTACACACTTACATGGCAATATACTTACAAATATTAAAATACGTTACAGCAATGGTAATTCCATATATTACTGTACTTAGTATAATCTATAATTAATTTTTACATTTTTTTTTTCTTTCTTTGTGGTGAAAGTGATATAAATACTCATAGTAGGTGCACTAATTTATGTTTTTGGAGTTAGGAGACAAGACCCAGCGAGGAAAAGAAAGGTTTCCATTTTTTTGTATTGCGCGGTGTCTTATTTTCTAATTGGTATATATGTCTCAGATAAAACAAGAAATTGTTGTGAATTGGGAAACATTCTTTTGATCTGCATATCCAGATAAAGTTCTTAGCTATAAGACAACAGAAGTTTATATGGAGCTTAAAGGAAGAGCTGTCTGGCGTTAGGCCCAAAGCGGTAGTCATGTCTAAGTAACTGCCTGGTTGGAGGATCTGGCACGACTGAAGCCATATCGAGAAATTATTCCAAAAATTTTTGGTTTTTTGGCATTTCCAAAATAGATGCATCAAATCCTCTTTCTCGTCATGGCAAAAAGTACATTTTCCGTCCTCTTTAACTCCTATTTTTTGCAGATAGCTGTTAGTTGGTAAACGTCTGTGTAAAAATCTGAAATTAAAATCAATTAGTTTTGAGCTCGTTGTACAAGTGTTTGCTGCTTGAAAAACGTTTCTCCAGTCAGCATTTTTATCGGTTGAAGAGTGGATGTCTTTATGCCATTTGTCTATACAAGATGTGGGTTTTTCACTTTTATTTGCTATTAGTTGCTTGTAAGCAATTCTAGATGATTTTTGGCCTTTGAGAAATGTGTTAAGAGGACTTTCATACTGCTGATGTGTTCTCGGGATTTGTCGTTGTAAAGATTTCACGGCTGAGACGATTCCGAAAAACATTAATGGTTTTACTCGAATGTTATATCTGTTCTGAAAATGGTCGAGGGAAAAAAAGTTGAGAGAATTCTCGTCCATTAGATGTTTAACTTTTGTTATACCCTTGTTAAGCCAATTATTGCAGAAAACTGGTGCGTTATTTATTCTTATTAATGAATTTTGTAACAGAGGTAGAGATAGAAAATGATCTTTTGATACTATTTTCCTCTCGAAGAAAGTGTCAGACCAAATTTCTACAATTTCTTTGATAAAAGGGTCTTCTATCTTTAGCTTATCAATATCCTTTCTGTTAAGATTTCCTAATTCGAAAAAAAGACTTCCCCCGTATTTTCCCAGCGCCAGATTAAAGAAGTTTTTCCATTTGCCACGGTTTCCTGAATCTAGATACTTTTTAATCCACGTAGCCTCGAGAGATTTGTTAAAAGAGGCAATATCAATCATTTTTAGTCCTCCTTCAGGGTAGTCATTGATCATGATCGAGCGTTTAATTTTATCCTTTTTGCCGTTATTCAGTGACATTAATATTTTGGAACTAAAACTCACTTAAACATTTAATTACCGAGCCTCAGACGGATTATGCCTTGTACCGCGGTAGCATCCTTCGAATATTAAATACCCGTTGTTTTGCTATTTTAAAAACCAGACACGTTTTTAAGGAAGCAGGAGTGTTTTATCGTTGATGAAATGGACAGCTTTTACAAATCTCACCTTTAGGTTTATTCTTATCATATTCTTAAAATTTCGCAATTTTCAGCCTCGATATTCTTCCAAAATATATTCTTATAAAAAAGAGAGTATATCCGTTGAGTTTTTAATTTTTTTCCCCGTGAAAACTGGACCTGAAAACGCAGCCGTGTATTATCAGATTAAACAATACGCACTAAAACGTTTCTTTCTGCATTTTTCCATAAATTAGAAATTACCCGTCTAAGTAGATTTATTTTCGACTTTTTTATACAGGAGATAAAGATGGGGAGACAAAGTAATTGATGTTTGCCTAATTTATAAACTTTCTGAAAATCACGTTAAAAGATGGAGGATCGTCGTTCCTTACTACTCTGCGGCAAAACTGAGCTTGCCCAGCATTATAGCACCGCGAGTTCTGCACCAGTGTTAAGGAAGTGAGACATGTGTGCTCCGACGGTGTGAATTAATGAGAGCTCTCAGTGAAGGGCAAGACGATAAATTTTTTGGAGTACCAGACTTATACTTTTCTTTTCTGAGTTTCTTACTCGTTTCCTGCCTTGTATTTTCTCTTAGCCTGTTCCAAGCGTTCAGATAGTGGAGAGCGGTGCGAAGTAAAGAAAGCGATGAAAAGTAGAGGGGAACTGTTTATTTTTTCGCGCTCCTTTTTACTTCGCACCGCTCCCCACTATCTGAACGCCTGGAACAGGCTAATTTTCTCTCTGCTCCTTCAGATCCTCAGTCTAAATTAGATCTCAGATCACTCTTTGTCGTTCTCAGTTTCTTGCTATTTCGTTCTATGTTTAATTGCAGATGGCCACTATTATTATACTCTATCCCTTCATGTTATCTGATTATTTGGGTTTTCTTCATTTTGATGAAGAAAACATGCTGTTAACTGTTGGGGGTTGCAAAGAACTGGAATACTCGCTCAGCCAATTAACGAGTGGCCGAGACTCTGTTCTTCTATAGAACTTTATTCTTCTGACTTTTGTCTTCATCAGCTACAAAAACTCATGTGCTAGCAAGCCCATCACCAGCGAATTAAATAACCAAATTGTCAGCTGAATTGTAGACGTGTTTAGGTTAGCCTGCCGTGAGAAATTTCCATTGCATATCTTGTAGGTTAACTTGGGGAGAATAGAATAGTCTACACCGTCGTAATTAACAAGTACCAAAGAACCAATTAAATGCTAGCAGCAGGGGGGGCTGCAGTAAAACTGCTCCGTAGGACTAAGCAGTCTAAACAGACACTTCAGTGTAGGTAAAACTGAGGGCCAGCTATAATCCCCGAACATGCCTACTTCGATGAACTACATTTACGTTTAACAAATCCTTCAAAAGGACGATACTACTCAAAAGCTCAGGAACTATCCGTGTGGGTTACACATTGAATTATCTTGGATTATGAACTGTTTCTTAAGAATCTTGCACGTACTACAAAATAATCAGTGGATACCCTATAAGAAAAACCTTAAAAATGCCAGTCGTCAAAAACTAAAAGTAACCACTTCACAAAGGTAGAAATTAATTAAAAGAAAACCAATGTCAATTTGGGAACAAGATGTCCGAGCCATAAAGTGCTGATTCAGCTGATTTCGGAAAGATGAACTGTGGACATCTAAAAATATCAGCAAGCCATGTTCTCAAATAATATCAACTAGAGAATTAAAAATTATCTTTAGCTTGTCTTGACAGTTTCTAGAATCTAAAAAGTTCATGCACGAAAAGTACGCACTGAGTTCTGTAACAAACATGAGCAGCTTACTCAATGAAATACAAACTTCCACCATATATTTATTTAGAAAAAGACTGTCGTGAGTAAATTATTTTTGTTGAATGTATACATCTCTATAAACGCTAAAATTCATGGCTCGGGAATAAATGATTTCGGTGGACGCCTAACTGGTCTTTCAAAGAAAGAGACTGTTGATGTTGATTTTGACAATGATCATGATATAGCAATTTGTCAGGCTTTGTCCTACACTTGTGGATTCTAATTCAGTTAATAATTTGTTATGCAGTAAGGCCTTATCATGCACACCAAACAACCCGAGAAGTAGTTTTTCTAATTTCTTTCCTGGGTTACGTGATTTTGATTTCATTGCACCTCTTAGTGTTTAGATGTTTTTGAAAACTTTCTCTTCGTGTTTGATTTTATTACGTGCAACACTAACAACGCTTAAAACAATCGCTAACGTAACGTAGTATGCTCCACAATATGAATTTATATTCCTTTCTGTAAGACCTGTTCATGATTGCATACAACACTGGGTTAATCAGACTACTTAAGTTACTACCATACGAAGCCAGCATCATAAAGTCTCGCGAGAGAGTTCCAAGGGTGATTCGCACCATTATTATAACAAAAAATAGAGGAATCCAGATCAACGTAAATGCCACTACAATTGCGAACATCATTTTTGTAACCTTCGCTTCTTTCGCCTTCAGGACACCTTCGGTATGTTGCCCGTCCCCTGGTTCTTTTACTGGCTGGGGTGTCTGTTGTTTCTGTTGATTTACGACATTTTTTTGATAAGCGTCTTGTTTTTCTTTAGCTTGGTGGGTGCTCTGTGGTACCTGTAGTTGAACGGTGATCAAGGTCTCATTCCCTTTGCATGTACCAGACTTTGGGGGATGAACCACCGAGGTTCCTGGTATCCATATCCGCTTTTCTCGTGTTTGCTGTTTTCTTTGTTGCTGATACGTGGTCTGTGATTCGACGGGATAAACACAGGCCCCACGTCCATTGTAGCTGGCAAATTTTTGAAAATGTCGCTCTTGTGGTCGGGTAACCTGTAATTCTCCCGACTGACGGTTATCCTGTGGTTCCGCTGGTTGAGATGTTTTGAAAGCCTTACCATTACGATCGCCGACAATTTCTTCTGGACGTTGCGTTCCTTGTGGTTTTCTTTCCTTTGCTTTTTGTGGGGACACTTGTTTTANCGGTTATCCTGTGGTTCCGCTGGTTGAGATGTTTTGAAAGCCTTACCATTACGATCGCCGACAATTTCTTCTGGACGTTGCGTTCCTTGTGGTTTTCTTTCCTTTGCTTTTTGTGGGGAAACTTGTTTTAATGGTTGGGTCATTTTGGCAGGTTCTTGTTGCTCTGGTATATGCCATGATTCGACTGGTTGACGAGGATTATTTGGCTCCTTTTCCGGTCGAACTGCGGCCTCTGGTTGATGGTTGGTTTGTTTGTCTTGTTGCAGGGCAGACTGGGCCTCTTTTGCTGCATACACGACATGTGCCTGTGGCTCTTGCAAGGCCTGTGATTCTTGCACCACATGAACTTGTTTAAAGGCATGATGTACCTTGAAGTAGCAAACAGGCACGATTAGCAGAGAAGCTATGATCACAGACACGTGAGTGATGGTAGTGAAGATTTTAAAGGTGTCGTTATAAGAAGGGACGCAAATGGCGTAACCAGCGTGAAAAATGAACTTTGTGCCGCCCATAACAAATGGAACCAGAACTATCATTGCCTCCATGAACCACATACCGGCCAGTATCACAATTGACGGTGTTGGCGCGAAAATAGATTTGAAAAGGCCAGGTTTGGTTGCCCGAATGCATCTGTTGATGGCCGCTAGGGACATAGTGCTAACAGATGCGTAAATGAGAAAAATGGAGGAAAATGCGGAAATAACGCACCCGGTGGATCCAAACTGCCAGCCGCCGGTGAGCAGGGTGACGTCCACAAATATAGCATTGGTGAGAAAGTTGAGAATGTCAGTGATCGCTAGAGCCGTAACGTATACAGGTGTAAGCTTTCGCAAAACTGGATTTCGAAAACAGGCAATGAGCACTAAAATGTTTCCAAGGAAACCAGCCAGACCCATAACTGTCCACAAAGTCGACTCCACAACAACTCGCTCAACGCTGCGTGGAGGAAGGTCCAGCGACGGCATCGATCTGCGTTTTGTTTTTGAAAATCTGAAAACGAAGAATTCATAAAGTTAAAAACCGCTCCCTCATCCCATTCTTGGGTCTTGATCTTTGATGTCCTCTTTAAACGTCTTAGTTCTCCATGGTCTTATGCTTTTTTAAACCTTGGGTGTTCGTTATGGTCCACCTTAAGAAAGACCAATGATGCCAGAAGGTTATTGGGGTGGTATATAGCTGCTTTTCATTTACCAAGAAATTTCGGAAATTCCGACTGGGATAAAAAATGGAACACACGTTTATCGGACGCACTACGAGAAATTTCCCGGGAATAAGTGGAACTTAACAAAGGTTGTCCTGTTTCCTCACTGGAAGTTTCTCCGTTGGAAGAGCATGGTCCATTCACGAGTTTACACTAGAATTCACTATTTCCAAGCGATTCACGGCGATTTCTGTATCGCCATCTTGTGAGGCGAGTGAGGGGAACGAATGGAACTTTGTGTCTTATGGAACACGATCTTCACTCGTATGGACCTTTCTATTAAAACTTCCGAATGTTTTTGGTAAATGGAAAACACCCTATGACATTGAGTGTGACCAGCCAGGCAACTGCAGGGGAAAAGGATCTGTGAAAACAGAAAGAAATAGTTTTCAGTTGTTTGTCGGTTCTTGAATTCCTGGACAGGAAAAGCTTTCATAGGCTGGAAACTAGCCTGTACACAGACGTTTTATTTGTCTTTTCGTTCTTTTCGAAAACATCGGCGAGGGCGGAGCGCGAGAAAGAAAAATAAATAACCGCATCCCCCCTTGTGCTGGCGGTCAATAGAAAGAAATTGCTTTCAGTTGTTTGTCGGTTCTTGAACACCTAGACAGGACAAGCTTTCATAGGCAGAAAACTAGCCTATACACAGACGTTTTATTTGTCATTTCGTTCTTTTCGAAAACATCGGCGAGCGTGGAGCGCGAGAAAGAAAAATAAATAACCCCATCCCCCCTTGTGCTGACGGTCAATAAATCCCCCGCAGTTTATTTTTTATCACACGCTCTCGACGGTCTTTGAAGAGCAAATAGAGGGTCTGTGAACAGACTAGCTGGAAACTGACATTTGCCTTTGACAGAAACCCTACACATCGAGTTTGACTAATAGTCGCGGGTCGCGGGTCGCGGGTCCAAAGTCGCGGTCGCGGGTCCAATGTCGCGGGTCGCGGGTCCAATGTCGCGGGTCGCGGGTCCAAAGTCGCGGTCGCGGGTCCAATGTCGCGGTCGCGAGTCCAAAGTCGCGGTCGCGGGTCCAATGTCGCGGCAGGGGAAAATGATTTGGGGTTCGAGGTAACTGAGTGAAAACGAGTGATATGAAAAAAATATAAAGGGAAAAAAAATCGTTTTTATGCACGATACTCTACGTTAACCAATTTACAGGTTACGGATGTTAGAGTCAACAAAATAATGTCTGAAGAAAAGACCTAAAATCTATCTAAAATCTATCGGGCCCACTAATATATAAATTCAGCTTTGAATGTACTTATGCGTAGCGGTTTCTGATAAAAAATGTTACCATAAGTTACCATTGTTTTCTTCTTGTCTATTAATTGCTCACAAATGCTTAGGGGTGAATAATGTGCGATACTCTTCATAGACTATAAATTATAAATGTTACAACAACTTATAAAAACCTTTTTTAAAAAAGGCTAACTCGGGCTCGAAAAGCTACGAGTCTGTCGGTAGAAGAAACGAGAACTATTTCAATTTTAACAAATGTTTTCGTCAAAAATAAAGAAAACGCTTGTTGAGAAACTTCCTGGTCGCAAACTCCCAAAATAAACTCTTTGCACAAGTAACTGGAAAGAGGAGGAGAGACGTTGGGCTTGAAGTGCCAGTAAAGTACATTCAAGCGGGTATTCAAGGCATGAATTTAATATAGAAACAAGTAATAATCCACAGCAATATGGGATAAAGCTCGAGCTTTATCCTCTCTTGTCCACAGAAAGGAGTTTGTTTCCACTAACTATTGAAATCCGGATTCCAAGTTCTACCAAGAGAGAATAGATCATAGTCTCTTGGTTCTACTGAGACTTGAATCCAGTACCTGGAATCTGGAATTACTTACCTAATCTATTGTCTTTTCTTAGCTCTGGTGGAGTTGATAACTTACCGTTTTCAGTGTCTGGTTTACTTTCTTTTTCAGCTTCATGATATCGGGCGTTATTATTTCCTTACACACTTACTCACTTAATTACGATGCATGTTTTCAAGATTTGACTGAGACGCACATTGAATGGCTTCCTATTGTCAGGTTGTCCTGGTTGCCATTCAGGTGAAGAGAACAAGAAGTTATATTGAACACTCTGGGTTGCCGTGTCAGTGGTAAAAATAAAAGCATTAAGCGAAAATCTTGCTTCTAGAAACAGACTCCTTTCTGTGGATTATTACTTGTTTCCATATTAAATTCATGTCTTGAATACCGCTTGAATGAAGTTTCATGCGCCTATTTACATTTTCTTTCAGTTTTGCCGAAAACATTTGTTAAATATAAGAGTTCTCGTTTCTTCTACCGACAGACTCGTAGCTTTTTGAGCCCGAGTTCGCTTTTTTTAAAAAAAGGGTTTAAGTTGTTGTAACGTTTATAATCTGTAGTCTATGAAGTGTATCGCATATTTTTCAGTAAATGAACTCCTAAGCATTTGTGAGCAATTCATAGACAAGAAAAAAGTAATGGTAACTTATGGTAACTTTTTTATCAGATACTGTTATGCATAAGTATATTCAAAGCTTAATTTACACATATCTGGGCCCGATAGAGAGAAAACAAAATGAACTTGCGGTGAACACAAAAGTCGGCCAGCTTTTTCTTTTAGGTCTTTTCTTCAGACATTATTTTGTTCACTCTAACATCCGTAACCTGTAAATTGGTTAACGTAGAGTATCATGCATAAAAACGATTATTTTCCCTTTATATTTTTTTCATATCACTCGTTTTCACTCAGTTTAATACCTCGAACTCCAAATCATTTTCCCCTGCCGCGACATTGGACCCGCGACCGCGACTTTGGACTCGCGACCGCGACATTGGACCCGCGACCGCGACATTGGACCCGCGACCGCGACTTTGGACCCGCGACCCGCGACCCGCGACTATTAGTCAAACTCCTACAGATCTGAAGCGTAAAGGTAAAAATCGATAAAGAGTACGAATAAAAGGTGATTTCTGCAAACGTTTGGCTTTAAAGCACTGCGATAAAATATTGCTTAAAATCATTTTAGCAAGTTATTAAGCAACGACATTTTGACATGATAACGTCGTTAGCCCATTAGTCCAAAAAAAGATCTCATAGTAAAACTGAACAATGCTCAATTACAGTCGAATAAAAGTGTTAAGAATGTTTCTTTTAATTAAGAGTTTGTATGGATGGATCGGCGTTGGTTTTAAAGCATGGATTGGTTCTTTTATAAAGAGCAACTCGTAGACTAAGCATTCAACTTTCCTGGGCACTTTCGGAGAATTAGAAATTGGTTTATCCGTGTAATTTGGATAATATCGGCTCCACAGCGTGAGATTTCTGACAAAAGAATGGTCGTAAGCCTGTTGCTTTCTTTTGTCTTCGTACCAAACCATCCACAAGATGCACGTGGTCCCCTGGTGGGCCTTTGTTTTTATTTGTGTTGCCGAGTAACGTTCTACGACATTCTTTTAAAAACTTAGTTGCATAGTGAACACGAGCTTAAACGTTGAATTTTTGAGCATCCTAAACTAAAACTTGTTCCAAATCCGGTGGATATTATCTACACCTGTCTGTTTCTCCCCTCAGTTCTGTATAAGTCCATTATTTTTTTCTGATATTTTTTACCTTTATAATTTTGAACATAAATTGATCGACCCCGGTCTGTTTTATAGACGTAACTTTCTCAAAATCCTGGTTACGTAATCCTCTTAGTTTAGTAGTCCTCGTTGCTCATGCATTTGTGAGGAAGTAAATATAATTGTTGAAGATGTACGTCATTTTAAAACGTCTTAAATTAGACATTAAAAGCAGGAAATCAATGCCCCATTCAAACCAACGAAACATGTTTCATGAAACCAGGTTTTTAAAAACGAAAAACAGCAACGGAAAACTGGAACACAGGCTTTTACGCCGAATACAAATGAACGTACGTAATTGCGCTAGATTTGCAATCGATAAAAGAACAGTAATATGCTTTGATAAGGGAAAAAAACTATATTTAATTTAATGGTGTGAATAGGGCCAAAGTCGAGTATACAGTGTGATATCATCACCTTTGTTTCTCCCAGGAAGTACAAGACAAAGATGGTTCAGAAAAGGACTCTATTGCTGGTGATTCTGGGAGTGAATTTGAGGCAAGTATTTTTTAATTTTTCTTTCTACTGGCTGAGATTGACTATGGCTGACGGGCTCTTTCCTTAATTGGAGTTACGCTGGGGATTAATACCGTCCGTACAATCTAAGTGTTCAAAAGTCGGGCGTTTACCATTAACTTTTTATTGGGGCTAGCTCACGTAAGAATGATCTCAAATCGTGCGCTTTCCTATTTTGTTTGTATACCAAACCATTAAACCCAGTTCTTTTCTTTCTTAACTTGGTTACATGGTCAACGCCAACTATAACGATAAATTTTTCTTACACCGAAACCAATGCCTGTTGTTGTCAACTAGTAAAAATTATATTGTTCATTTAGACTTAGCTCTCTTAAAGGTTGCTCAAGCCGGTCAACGTGCGTGAGAGAATTTGTTTAATTCCTGCCTACATAACAACTAGAGCACCTTAATAGCGGCGCCCCTTAATCTGATTATATACTAGGATTTTAATTTATCCAAACTTCATAGACTCACAAATTGATTTGTATCACCAGTATATATAAATCGGGTAAAAAATTACAACGTTTAAGATCTGTTGTTTGGTAAAACTTACTTACCGGGTCTAAATGTGAAGGGTTACATGGTGCAATTTCACTCGATAAGCAAAATAAGTGTTGGTCGTATACTCCTTCCACCCAGTATGAAAATTATATCTTTGGGAACAAATAGTAATCGCGCTTTCAAATATCCTTGTCGCAGCTGCTCGGAAAAACGGATTTAACACTCAGTGACAAGATTACCAAAGATGAAAATTAAGCAAAAATTTAATATCGATTTAGTCATTGTTCGTTTGGCGAACAATCGTACACTGGACGACAGCTAGGGGCTCGATCTGATTGGTGAGGAGGTACCAAGTTGACTGCTACCTGCCAATCAAGCCCACTTTTTTTCCGGTATTCGCGAGAAGAACTTTATACTAATTAATTAAACGGAGGAACTTGCCTCGCTTTTATTAATGAGCTTTCTCCGGAGTTGCAGGCAGCACAATCCCTCTTGACGACAAACCAGCACAATTCCAAATTAAGGATTATTTCCGTTGCGACGGTTAAAGCAGAATTTGGAACAACGAGTAAAACTGTTTACCGATTAGGCTCCCGAACTTTACTTTAAAATAACATTTGCAAATTCTGCGGCTGTTTACGTGGGCGTGTTTTCAAAAAAAAATGAGGGACCTCATGATCGAAGGAAGCGATAGCTGCGAAAATTCGCGTTATTTCAGTCTTTATACTACTATATGAGAAATTTCTGCAATTTGATTAGCTTAGAGCAGTGGTATTTCGGCTTAATTTGAAACACCTACATGTGAAAATTACAAACCTTTCGTGGGTAGTAGTGTAAACAAATAATAGCCCGATTTGTACCTGATATTTGGCATAAATACCACTAGAAATCATGCTATTACCTATACTAATGCAGGCGAACCCTCTTGAGGTTGAATTCCTAGGGACAATATCCAAGTTCAGAAAAAGAAATAAAATTTCGCCTTCGCTTGTTTACGTCCCGCATAAAGCGTAAATTAGGCAATTTAACATCGTAGTTGTATAAAAACGGCAAAGAAATGTACAAAAAAGTGTTTTGCACTTGCAAAATTGTTGTTTTGCCTACTAAACCTATTTGTTGTTGTTTTTGACGTTCTCGTTGCCGTCGCGTCGTCGAATCTGAAAGTCCTTATCACTAACTACAAATGCACGTGTCAATGTTGTTGGAAATCAATTTCTGGTTTTCAATAAAAACGAACTCGATTTTTATTGGCTGTTTTTTATTTTTCACGAAAGGCGATCTTGCGCAACTAAGTAAGGAACGTTCCTAGCCTCCCACGCAGACCTTCTCAGGGCTTCGTCACACGTTCCTAACGCGTAACGAAGCTCGAAGAATGTCTGCGGGTGGGCTACTGGTTCTCATGAACTCGCAGAACAGATGGTATTTACCATCCTTACGTAACATTTTGAATATTCTCATCCCTTAGGAAAAGAAAAGGTAAACTCTGGGATTTATATACTTTAGCTGATTCAATAAAGGTTGCTGTGAGCATTGGGAATTGGCAACTGCGCATTGGATATTTGGGCGTACAAAACTCACTGAAATGATTTGCTTGAGTGACCACCAAACATAAGCTGCCAATTGTGCAATTCCCAAAGCAACCTCTATTGAATCAGCTATACATTCAATTGGTCGTTTGACTCATCAATGAATAATAAGCAAAAAAGAAGGGGGCTGATTTACAGATTATGCATTTTTCCCTGGTAAAGGTCAAAGATAACAAGCAAATGCTCAATTTCTTTTAATAATCGATAAAATTTTCGAGACAGAGGATTTAATCGTTACCTGTCTGTTTCTGCCCTCAACACCTGTCAGTTCGATAAAAATATATTTTCGAAATCCAATTCACTGCATTCACTGATGGTTTTTTTCTATCCCTTGAATTGTTCAGCTTGACAGAAAATCGATTGTAACCCGCTCTCATTGGGAAACTATTTGCATTGGAAAATCCAGCATTATGAGAAAAAAAAAAACAGACCAAAATATATCACCGAATAAGTCATTTTTATCCGCCTCCTATATCGATTACGCATTATCTTAAATTTGTTTTGTTTTATTTACTAATTTGTAATTTAATTTTTCCGGATGAGGCATTTCGTGTCACAAATTGTTCTTTATAATCTTTTAACATGAAAACACATTTTTGCAAGTCTGTTTTTTCTAACGATATATTTTATTATTGTTTTTTTTATGATCCTGGTCTGCTCTGTAACTTAAACTTTCTCGAAATCCAGGTAACAAAATACTACCAAATTCGTCTCAATTTAATGCTCGTTGCCCATGATATTTTGAGCTACTATTGTGAGTACTGTTGAACATATATTTCTAAGACGTTTTAGATTAAAGCTGGAAATTAAGTCAGGTATAAATTTTTGTTATTTTTAGTAGAAGTCTATTATCACTGCTGCGTTCTGATTGGTTGAGCTACTACTAGGCTACCGTAAAATTCCGAAAACAAGCCCCTCCAAATATAAGCCCTCCAAACTCGTAACGCAAAAAAGCCTTCGTTAAATCGCCCCTCCAAATATAAGCCCCCCAGGGGGGCTTGTACTTGGAATTTGCCCTCGAATACAAAGAAAAACAAAGTAAAAAACGGCAAATTTCCTTCCAACTATAAGGCTAGCCCAATCGATTTTGAAACGCAAATTTCCCTCCGAATATAAGCCCCTCCAAAAATAAGCCCCTCAAAAAGGGCCTTTGGAAATTATAAGCCCCGGAGCTTATTTTCGGAATTTTACGATATATGTTATAGCCCACTTGTAGCGAAAAGCGTCGGCTTTGAAAACCAAAACAATGGCCGCTGAAGCGCGTTTTGCTTGCTCAAGTTGTTTTGTCTCGATACTTTTGACCAACTAGTTGGATTTTACTAAAACAATTATTCGTCTCGCCCTCATGTCCTCTGAGTCAATAGTGCATTCGGCCTTCAGCCTCATGGGCTATTGACTCAGGGCCCATTTGGGCTCGAGGAATAATTGTTAAACATCATATTTGTTTCCCTCAGGAAGTGCAAGACGAAGCTGGTTCTGACAAAGGTGCAATTGATGGTGGCTTTGAAAACGAATTTGAGGCAAGAGATTTTTCTAAATTTGTCTTCCTACTGGCTGAGATTGATAATAACGACGGGCCTTACCTTTTTAAGAGCTGACTGAAATTTAAGCTGGGTGTTAAATAGAGTCCGTTAAGGTGGACTTCCACTGTCGCGTGAATACGAGAATTTACGTGCATAAATGAAATAGAAGCAATGTATGAAAGCTCGCACGTAAACGTAAAAATTCAACCTCACTCAACTTTTACGTGTACGCTAACTGCCATTATAACTGTAACAATAGACGGATCAAAACGCACCAGTCACATTGAATCTTCATAGCCAATAACACCGTATCCTCGGAGACCCAGGGGCAGCTAGTCGGGTACGATCTTTAGGTAAACTTTCACCACGAACATTCTATCGTCCCGACAAGCTGCCCCTGGGTCTCAGAGGATGATAACGCCGCGGCTCGACTATCAGACGACCACTAAAAGTATCCCGACTTACCGTAAATGATCAATCAGGTCAATAACCAGAGCATTGGCTATACAAAAATACACGGAGCATTTCGTGTCTGCGCAGTACGCGCGCGTGCGTACTTCAGACAGACAAAGAGTAGAAAGTTTTCTTACCTAAGGAAACAACGCAATGGGCAGGCTTCAACCTGGACTTTGAGATCTTTTAACCCCTCGGCCACCACGCTTCCACTACCATATAGTTTAAATAAAGCATAAATGAGCAACTTTAAAGTTTTCCCATAGACATAGTCCACGGAATAATGTTGATTTGTAAAGTCCCGCATAAAGCGTAAATTAGGCAATTTAACATCGTAGTTGTATAAAAACGGCAAAGAAATGTACAAAAAAGTGTTTTGCACTTGCAAAATTGTTGTTTTGCCTACTAAACCTATTTGTTGTTGTTTTTGACGTTCTCGTTGCCGTCGCGTCGTCGAATCTGAAAGTCCTTATCACTAACTACAAATGCACGTGTCAATGTTGTTGGAAATCAATTTCTGGTTTTCAATAAAAACGAACTCGATTTTTATTGGCTGTTTTTTATTTTTCACGAAAGGCGATCTTGCGCAACTAAGTAAGGAACGTTCCTAGCCTCCCACGCAGACCTTCTCAGGGCTTCGTCACACGTTCCTAACGCGTAACGAAGCTCGAAGAATGTCTGCGGGTGGGCTACTGGTTCTCATGAACTCGCAGAACAGATGGTATTTACCATCCTTACGTAACATTTTGAATATTCTCATCCCTTAGGAAAAGAAAAGGTAAACTCTGGGATTTATATACTTTAGCTGATTCAATAAAGGTTGCTGTGAGCATTGGGAATTGGCAACTGCGCATTGGATATTTGGGCGTACAAAACTCACTGAAATGATTTGCTTGAGTGACCACCAAACATAAGCTGCCAATTGTGCAATTCCCAAAGCAACCTCTATTGAATCAGCTATACATTCAATTGGTCGTTTGACTCATCAATGAATAATAAGCAAAAAAGAAGGGGGCTGATTTACAGATTATGCATTTTTCCCTGGTAAAGGTCAAAGATAACAAGCAAATGCTCAATTTCTTTTAATAATCGATAAAATTTTCGAGACAGAGGATTTAATCGTTACCTGTCTGTTTCTGCCCTCAACACCTGTCAGTTCGATAAAAATATATTTTCGAAATCCAATTCACTGCATTCACTGATGGTTTTTTTCTATCCCTTGAATTGTTCAGCTTGACAGAAAATCGATTGTAACCCGCTCTCATTGGGAAACTATTTGCATTGGAAAATCCAGCATTATGAGAAAAAAAAAAACAGACCAAAATATATCACCGAATAAGTCATTTTTATCCGCCTCCTATATCGATTACGCATTATCTTAAATTTGTTTTGTTTTATTTACTAATTTGTAATTTAATTTTTCCGGATGAGGCATTTCGTGTCACAAATTGTTCTTTATAATCTTTTAACATGAAAACACATTTTTGCAAGTCTGTTTTTTCTAACGATATATTTTATTATTGTTTTTTTTATGATCCTGGTCTGCTCTGTAACTTAAACTTTCTCGAAATCCAGGTAACAAAATACTACCAAATTCGTCTCAATTTAATGCTCGTTGCCCATGATATTTTGAGCTACTATTGTGAGTACTGTTGAACATATATTTCTAAGACGTTTTAGATTAAAGCTGGAAATTAAGTCAGGTATAAATTTTTGTTATTTTTAGTAGAAGTCTATTATCACTGCTGCGTTCTGATTGGTTGAGCTACTACTAGGCTACCGTAAAATTCCGAAAACAAGCCCCTCCAAATATAAGCCCTCCAAACTCGTAACGCAAAAAAGCCTTCGTTAAATCGCCCCTCCAAATATAAGCCCCCCAGGGGGGCTTGTACTTGGAATTTGCCCTCGAATACAAAGAAAAACAAAGTAAAAAACGGCAAATTTCCTTCCAACTATAAGGCTAGCCCAATCGATTTTGAAACGCAAATTTCCCTCCGAATATAAGCCCCTCCAAAAATAAGCCCCTCAAAAAGGGCCTTTGGAAATTATAAGCCCCGGAGCTTATTTTCGGAATTTTACGATATATGTTATAGCCCACTTGTAGCGAAAAGCGTCGGCTTTGAAAACCAAAACAATGGCCGCTGAAGCGCGTTTTGCTTGCTCAAGTTGTTTTGTCTCGATACTTTTGACCAACTAGTTGGATTTTACTAAAACAATTATTCGTCTCGCCCTCATGTCCTCTGAGTCAATAGTGCATTCGGCCTTCAGCCTCATGGGCTATTGACTCAGGGCCCATTTGGGCTCGAGGAATAATTGTTAAACATCATATTTGTTTCCCTCAGGAAGTGCAAGACGAAGCTGGTTCTGACAAAGGTGCAATTGATGGTGGCTTTGAAAACGAATTTGAGGCAAGAGATTTTTCTAAATTTGTCTTCCTACTGGCTGAGATTGATAATAACGACGGGCCTTACCTTTTTAAGAGCTGACTGAAATTTAAGCTGGGTGTTAAATAGAGTCCGTTAAGGTGGACTTCCACTGTCGCGTGAATACGAGAATTTACGTGCATAAATGAAATAGAAGCAATGTATGAAAGCTCGCACGTAAACGTAAAAATTCAACCTCACTCAACTTTTACGTGTACGCTAACTGCCATTATAACTGTAACAATAGACGGATCAAAACGCACCAGTCACATTGAATCTTCATAGCCAATAACACCGTATCCTCGGAGACCCAGGGGCAGCTAGTCGGGTACGATCTTTAGGTAAACTTTCACCACGAACATTCTATCGTCCCGACAAGCTGCCCCTGGGTCTCAGAGGATGATAACGCCGCGGCTCGACTATCAGACGACCACTAAAAGTATCCCGACTTACCGTAAATGATCAATCAGGTCAATAACCAGAGCATTGGCTATACAAAAATACACGGAGCATTTCGTGTCTGCGCAGTACGCGCGCGTGCGTACTTCAGACAGACAAAGAGTAGAAAGTTTTCTTACCTAAGGAAACAACGCAATGGGCAGGCTTCAACCTGGACTTTGAGATCTTTTAACCCCTCGGCCACCACGCTTCCACTACCATATAGTTTAAATAAAGCATAAATGAGCAACTTTAAAGTTTTCCCATAGACATAGTCCACGGAATAATGTTGATTTGTAAGTTCAAGATGGTTAGTTTAGTGACGCTTATGTTTTTTGGCTTCAACATTTTGTTCTACTCTCTGTGGTCCCATCAGGGGCCCTATTAATAGGATTCGACTTTGAAAAAATAATCGGAAATACCGTCCGAAAGCGAGCCTCTTTAGAATAGCCTGCATCACAGACGTAATTTTAACCTTGGCTAGTAACGTCTGCGAAGCAGTGCTGATATCCATGCTTCTGGGCCACCAACGGACTCAACGAATTACCGGAAGTGCGTTTCGAATTTTCTTTCATCTTAATTGTCTAATCGACAATGGCTTTTTAAACAGGCCAATCATGGCGCATACTCAAATCCTGGAACACATGTGGGGGCCCAGAACGAGGATTTCGGCGCTAATTCGCAGACGGACTTAACCAGAGTTTAGTTCCGTCTGTAGCGCCGGCTACTTAACAATGCAGCTGAAAACGAGAAGGATTCTTTCATTTTTTCATCTTTAGGGTTTTTCTCCTAAGACAGGCACCTCCGCAGGTGAAAGAAGGACTCTAGTGGCACATGAAATATTGTCAACAGAGTTAACATACATGAGGAATTTATCCGTAATACAAGATGTTTTTAAAAAACCTCTTGAAGCCGCGCTTGCCTCAAACAGGTTTGCTTTTTTATCCTTATTATGATCTCTTGGTTTTTCTTGTCTTTTTTATGTTGTACGTCATGAGGGAGCATGACCCCAACCCCCCTAGAGGTACGGGATTAACGGCCCCTTGTTGATATAGTCGGTTACTCTATCTTCAAACCGGCTGGCTACTTAAAATAGTATTGAAATCCCTGAATTACGCCACCCGAAGGTCTAGCGGACCACCTTGTGCAACATATTGGTCAGTAGCAGAGGAACAATAGAGCGTACTGGTACTTAAGCTTTAGAATAACCGGTTAAGCTTAGTTATAATAGTAAACTAGCTAAAATGAACACTGTCACTAGGTTGAGTTACATTTGGCTGCTCCGGAAAAAGTTGCTAGTTTCCAAACGTTCTTTTCCTTTTGGACTTTTTTAGGGCCATTATCAGCTTGGCAAACATACAAAGTTTATTTGCTGACAGCGAAACATTGCTGGCCCTAAGCAGGTACGTTAGACATCGCATTGTTTAATATTTTATGGCAATAAAATAAATAGATAGAATGCACTATATTTTAGTGTCCTAATTGATGACACCATTTTTACGTCTCGTACTGGACACGGGACCGCCATTTTACGTGGTCATCCGAGCCTCGCGAGGTAGTACCGTCATTTCTCAGGTATTTTAAGACCCTAAGTATGGGTCTGGCCCCGGGAATCGAACCCGCGACCTCTCGCTCTGCAGTCAACCGCTCTACCGACTTAGCGAGTCCTGCTTACACTTCTGGCGGGCGTTACAGTGTTTTCCGGGTGATATCAAGTCACATTCCCTTCTCGTGGTTCACTAACTGATTTGAAGGGTCCCTCAACAAAATAAATTACATAACTGGTCAAATATTAAAGTTTCAGCAGAGATGATGATAATCTTGATGTTGAAACATTTTTCTTAATGCCCAGCTTTATACACTGATACGACGACCTTTATTGTGTTTCAGTCTTTTGGTGAATAATCTGTCAAACAGGTTAGATGAATGGAATTCTCATCAAGTAAGTTCCATTTACAATTTTTCATTTTTTGCATTCTCAAGGGCGCGCTCTAACTTTCGTTGTAGCAGAAAACCAAGCCAATTGAACTAACCGATCTAAAGAACGGTTTCCATCATTTCAGACATTCGTATAAATGACCGTAGCCCACATATTTTCGTACGAAAAAATAGGACATTTTCGAGTGGTGCTAAGCCTCGGTGATCTCCAAAGTTGACCCGAAAAGTCGCGACGACAACACTAATGCAAGGCACCCAACAATAGGATATTTCCGAGTGGGACTGATCCTCGTTGATGTCCGAAGTTCACCCGAAGAATCGCGACGACAACACAGTCATTATACAAGGCACCCAACAATAAGATATTTCCAAATGGGGCTAAGGCCCGATGACGCCCGAAGTTGACCCGCAAAATCGCGACGGCAACACATAATACAAGGCACCCAACAGTAGGACATTTACGAGTTGGGCTGACGCTCGATGATGTCCGAAGTTGACCCGAAGAATCGCGACGACAACACAATATTCATTGCACCCAACAATAGGACATTACCAAGTGGGGATGAGCCTCTATTTTGAAGTGAAGCTGAGTCTGACGTCTGTTTCATTCTTATGCAAATTAAAACAGAAACCCTTTTTCTTTAGAAAGGTTTGCACTTGTCCTGTCTTTGAAAGCGGCGGTTTTGCCACTCCGAAATCGCCTAGGGTAAATGTTTATGATATCGTCCAATCAAAATAAACAGCCAAAGAACCGTTTTCTATTGTAGTTCAGGCGGAAAACACAATAGTTTAATAACCATACCAGAAGTTCAAAAACCACACATTTGTTCAATGACATCTCACACAGCTAGCTTTTTTTCAAACCGGAAGTGACTGCTTTTTGTCTCTTTTGACATCACCTATAAAATTTTATCCCAAGAAACCTTGCGAATGAAGTACCAGTCGCCCTCATGTCAAAACCGAGCAGAAATCTGTTTTTGTTTTCCGTCTAGATAAAGATGAGCTATCCTTTCAGACAAATTTATAGACATGCATACAGTCAAATCAAGCGAAGACTAGTTTTGGCCCCACTTCTGCCTAAACACCGGATTTATACTAGACGAATTATCTACCAGAGATGGATAATTTGTCGTCTTGAATAAAAAAATTCGTCACTTGTATAAATTCGGCTCGACTCGGCACTGTAAGACTTATAAGTTGAGCACATTCATTTATCGTATCTAAAGTAAGTCGGTTTTTTAACGTTCTCTCTAGAGAGACAACTTTTCAAGGTCAGGTATTTTTCAGGTATTTCGAGGAATGTTCACGGCGGGAATTGTGAACTAGTTTTTCAAGGGGAGGAAACCCCGAAGGCTGTTATCCGAGAAAATACGTCATTCTTAGCCTTTTCTGTTCCCTTTTCAGATGCTGGGAGACATTTTTCTCAACTTTACTACACAGCTGCGTGCCTACACCAATTTTTTAAACAATTATCCTGTAACACTACAAACATTAGAACGAGTAAGCTTTTCTTTATTAACTATTATCGTAGATTAAGGCCTAGGCAAAACGTCGAACTTTTCATGAGACCAACCAAACTCGAATTTGAGTCGACCTAAATTGAGTTAAAATCTTCTGTTGGGTCAGACGTCGAACTTAGGACGCGTCGAACCAATCAACTGAACCAGATCAAAAACCAATTTTAATAAATTTTCTCTCGAACGAGGCTAAATATACATTATCATACAAATTTTAAATTTATTCGTTTAGTTCTTCGCATGTGAAGATCGACGTTTGTCCCGTAGACGATCTTCAAACGTTCTATCGGCGTCTGAAGCAGACGGATAGAACCTGCTGGACGATTCAAACTCATTCAGACGAACTTAACTGAGCCAGACGTCGAACTTTTCATGAACTTAACTCAGGTTTGTCTCGTGAAACGTTTATCCTTTCCCTAGGCCTAAGAGTACCCGTGTTTCCTCTATTAAGCTATTAATCCCCTTGCAGTTTATTAATATCAGTTTTCGTAAAGTGCCTCTGGACTAGCTGGGGGCGTATTAGAGGCTGGAGGTTGGGGGCTTTCGAAAGGAACAAAGATGGCACAGTTGGTTAGTGCGCGGCCTTCGGTGCGTTAAGTCCCGAGTTCGATTTTCGGTGACATCACATCCCTGTTGCTACTTCTCTCCTTTTTGTGTAGCTTTAACTAGCTTAAAATACCTTTAGAACTTTGGTAGACAGAGGTGCGTAGAATGAGCGCACCGTCGGCCTCAAGTTTATCCGTTGAAGTACTGTCACCAGTTGTCGACTTAAAACATGGTTGCCTCAAAGGTAAAAGGAAGAATTGAATTCGGGCGTGAGAATACGCACCCCGTTCTCAAGCGTCCCATTTTCTTTTCCTTGACCATTCCAGCATGGTTAATCCTGTTAGGGGTAGGGGTCCTCGCCATCACAGCTCTTATGTCATGCCTCGCCACCATATCATGTTCCAGGCGTTCCTATAGTGTTTTTTTCCAGCTCCAGTTTTTGCGTTGTCCCCGCTATCTTAAAGGGACGCAGTCAGCTTTGGACAGCGCCAATCTGGACACTAGTTTTGCAACTTTGAAAAGCGTTTACCTCAACCCGAAATCAAATGCACGCGTTGGATACATCTAGCTAGAAAACCGCTTTAATCTTGCCTAGTGTTTCATTCGATGTTTTATTGAACACCTGTTCCGCTGTATTCTTTTACTAATTCTTTAATTTTATTTCATCATATTTGGTTAAAAACGGTGTGGATTGTGTATCTTGCGATATGCAAATCGGCTAAAAAATTGTATCTAATGCGCATGTACATAAGCTGACTATGTCCCTGTAACGCCTGGGACAGGCTACATCGCAACAACGAGTTGCCAGCCCAAGTCGAAGTACTGACTACACAAGGTACACAGTGAAAAATTTCACTTTACTCACTTCATTTTTACTTACTTCTTACTTTATTATCAAGCCATTATCCTGTGTTTCTTTTTCGACAGTGTAAAGAACAAAATCCTCAATTTCGCTCATTTCTTGCACGCCACGAAAAACAGCCAAATACAAAAATGATGAGGTATGAAATTATGCCTTGCCTTTTAGTTTTACTCATTTCTTATATCCTTCCAATGTTTGAGTGAATAGTATTTTATAAACTCTAATTTCATTTCTTTGTTCTTGTGTTTTGTTGTTTTCTCCTTTTTTTTTGTTTTTGGCATCTAGTTTTGCAGAATTGTTGTTTCTCCCGGGAAGACAAATTAAAAGGTCAGTTAACCTATTTTCAGTTTGTCCTCCACACAGGGCAAAATTATTTACAACAATTGTCTCGTCGTTTTCTGCGCCTTTGTAATTGCTTCTTTGTGTTAGGTTTTCTGTTCAATAGACCCATTTCACGGTTCTGTGCTTAGTGCCTTAGTGTGTAAAGTTGGCGCGGGTTCTGTTGGGGATTCACCGCGGTAAAACGAGAGAAATTTGCGCAAGCCTAACAAAATAACTTAAGGCTGAGGTTCTTACTTTCACTGTTTTAAAGTCTTATGTAATACCAATACACTGTTAAATGACAAAACGTTTTGAAAGTTTTAATACTAAAAAATTGTAGGAAGACCACTGCCCAAAAAATGCAAAAGTCCACTTTCGGTTGACATGCGTCGCTCAAATACGCCTTTCCTTAAGCTCCCTAATTTTACTCAGGCGCAAAGCATTGTCAACGAAGAAGAAGGTGAAAGTTTAGAAATGCGAAGATAAAAGTAGTATAGAAGACACTGAATTATCCAGTTTTTATGGCAGGAATCTCGTTAACTTCCGGTGGAGTACGTTAACGCCGATGACGTCATAGCCTTTTTTCTGTATCTCATGAATAAAATGCTCAGGAATATCATTTTAAGATGAGATCATGTGCTATTTTTCTTCTAGATGTTTAACTCGTTGGATAGGTCTTCTAGTTAATGTATTCCTGTGCAAGTTAACGATATCCCTGTGCAAAAAAATCCGGACATTTCGGTCCCTGCTATACTACTTAGTAATGTGGACTAGTTATTTTACTCAGCCTTACCCATGCTCTCACTTAACAGTAAATGAATTCACGCTAAATGAAACAAAAACGCCACAAACAGTGGATCAGCAGGCTATTTGTGCAGCCTATTTCCATTTAATGGATACAATGTGGTCAAGGAGCTATGGAAACAATTTGATGTAAATCTGAGGCAACAGCACACAGAGAGTGAAACCAGGACATTGTCAACCACGAATGTCTTTCACCCACAAGAATTAAATACTTTCTGAATAACAAGTGGCAAATTTTCAGGGCTTAATTACTTGTTTTGTTCCAGTTATATTGAGCTTTTAGAAGCGTTCTTGAGGTACACTTCAGCTGATCACGTCGACAGAAAAAAATTGACCCAGGCCATTGCCAAGTTCAAGGACCTTGACACCTTATTTAGACAGGTAATAAAAAAATTATTATCGCTTATCCACACTATATAAAGTGAAAAAGGAGCTTCATTTGTCCGCTTAATCTGAAATGTCAGCTGTCTCCGCCCCTTAACACCATGGGAGGGGGGTGCAACCCCCACGGGTTAGGGGATTAGGGGATGGAGACGGATGACATTTGAGACTATAGTCCGCTTAAATTTACACCTCCATTTAATGCTCTCAAACAAGCAAGATATAAGTTTTGAAAACTCTGCCTATGAGCTCCTGTCCCTCAATCGGTTCCCTATATATTTTTAAGTGGAAGTGCCTGAATCAGCGCCCCTCCCCCTCCCCTCGGCTGAAATGAAATGAAATAAGCGCTCCCGGCGCAAATAGGTCATTTGCACGATGGCGTCATTTTACTACTACGACCAGAATCCTTTTCGTTTTTCCTTTCATATTTTAATTTTTAATTTTGTAATCCCATCGAGTTATAAAAAACAAAAGTCCTAATTTGCACAAGAAAGCAAAATCATAAAATATTGTGGTCGTAGCAGTAAACTGACGTCATCTTGCAAATGGGTGGAACACAATGTTAAATCTTTGTGTTGTCTGCCAATTCTTTTAGTAACGTTGGTTTTATTTGGTCTTTTGCAGTATAAAGAACGTCTTGAAAGGGAAAGGTTTCTTCAAGATTTACAGAAGAGAATAGTCAATTGTCCAGTAAGTCACGTCTTTTGTTCTTAACAGAGGTTAATTTTACCGTCTCATATCACAGCATCAAGAGTTCACATTACCGGTGTAGGGGGACTTGTGGGAAAAGGACTCCCTTTAATTGGCTTCAGCTTTTTGGGTGTTCCTGCCAAGTCTCTTACACCGCTCCCTTCATATTATTACTTTAGCTACTTTCTGCTTTGTTTGTATCGTTGATTTGTTGTCTCCTGGCGAAGCTAATGGAATAAAGTAAAATAAAGAGAAAAGCCTGACTTGAGTTTGCTGTTGGCGACGTCAACGTGCTCGCTATCTAGTACATTCCTGGTCCCGGCTGCTCGAAAGATGGTTGAGTTTAAGCCAAATTTTAAACAAGGTTTTCTTGTCTAAGAACATGCAACTCGAGCTTGATACAGTATACTCCAAGATACAGTAATGATAACACAAAATGTTACTCCAAGCAATACATAGAAAGGTAAAATACACAAACGGAACAAAATTTTAATCCTGGATTAGTGCTAATCGGCCTTTCAGGAACCGGGCCCCGGAGTGCATTACACCCATTATCTCATTTTTTTTTTAATGATCTTTCACTTGCTCTATTGCATCCGTGTTGGCCCTTACCATCCCACTGGCTGGTTTTGTAAAGTTTTCACATTTCAATTAATGGGAAGTATAAAGCGTGCTTTCGCTGTGGAGATTTATTCCCAAACGTTTCTTTAATAGGAGCTCTTAATGAAAGCATTAAAGTTACAAGTAGCCCCCTGGCCCTTCTCCCGAATAACAAGTACAAGATATTCGATATCTTCCTCGAAGATATCAGCTAACGAAGCTACTCTAACTATTTTAACTCCTCTAAGATTCGAGTTGCAATAAATGTTATGTATGTATGGGTCTATGTAGAAGTAAGTTATGTATGTTCCTATTTCACTCCTACGTGTCAAAAAACATTCACCGGTTAGAGCACGCGACGCGCGAGCAGCTTTACGGTATGACCACCAGTCTCCCAACCTTACAGCTGCCAGAACGCCATCTCCAATTCGCCGGTCATTACGAACAAGCAAAGGGCGACTCTTTCTGTGGAGACCAAGCGGCCCTGCTTCTTCACTGAACGAAAATGAAGTTCCCAGATAAGATATGCAAGAGATTTTGGAATCCACAGGGAGTAGCTTGCGGCCGTGATGTCGGATAGGATAGCCTGTGTACAGACGTCCCCCCTAGCTCCCTCAGAAAAAAATCGGGAGAAGAGACTCTTCTCCCGATTTTTTTCTGAGGGAGGAGGACGTCTGTACACAGGCTAGGATAGGAATCGTCGTTCATAGCTTCTCGACTCCGAATGATGGTGATGATGATGATGATGACGACGCTCTTGTGTCAATTTTCTATGTTTTCACTGTTTGCAGGTTCTTGCGGAGAAAAGTCGTCATTTCATTCGCGAAGAGGATGTCATCCTGCTGTCAACCCCAAGTATTGGCAGACAAGTTAAACCAGAGTTCAGGTAAATATTTCAACATTAAAGCTTTTTTCCTGCTTTTATCACATCGATGGGGATACCGTATTAGAAATTGTTCTTTTTGACAACGTCGATCTCCCTGGTTTTATATATACTTCCGTCGGACAGAGTTAAGGATGTTTTCGCTTGGCGCGGCGCGCTATCTTTAATTTAGCAGAGCGCATTGTTTAAATATTTCGTTTCCGCTACTTTTCTGTTAGAAGTAAGTAATCAACACAGTCCTGGGCCTCTTTTGTCACTGCCTTGCGTCACAGCCTGTATGACTTGACGCGACAATCGAGCAAGTGAAGAACCTTCTAAAGAAGGAGTTCCTCGCCTGTTTTTATTCTAAACGTAATTGGTGTTATGGTGACCAACTAAAAAACCAAATGGTTCACTTGGCCATCGTAATAATAATAACAATAATAATAATAATAATAATAATAATAATAATAATAATAATAATAATAATAATAATGATAATGATAATGATAATGATAATGATAATAATAATAATAATAATAATAATAATGGGATTTATATAGCGCTTATACATCGCTGTTCTAAGCGCTTTACAATGTAAAAAAGGACATAAGAATATCATTAATCACAAGCTTACATATAACACTACTGTACATATTGGGAAATTTATAGCATACACATATTAAAAAGGAAAGAAAACAAAAACAAATATGATGAAACTAAATGTCATATACCTTTTTAAAAAGAAACACTTTCAACTTAGACTTGAAAAGATTAACATCAGAACAAGCACGAATTTCAAAGGGGAGCTTGTTCCATAGTTGAGGGGCAGCAACGGAAAACGCTCGCTGGCCATAAGTTTTCATGTTAAAATTTTGTTCTTCAAGGCGTAAATGATCCCTTGATGACCGTAATGTCCTTGATTGATGGTAAAATTTTAAAATATCTTAATATCTTCATCGTACTCAACCTTTCATATTAGTTCTACATAAACATTTATCTTGTAAATCTATAATGTCTTTAACTTAGCATTAGTCAAAATATTGAGTAAAAATAAACTGAACTGAACTGGAGGAGTGGGGTGGGTAAACAAGTGCGACTGTTATGGGATCTTATTTGTTCTTTTAGGTGCAGAAAAGGTGCTTTTTAAGTTAACTACAAACACTCTCGTCTTTCAAAAGCCTTTCTGTTTTCTTTCGTTTTTTGAATACCAGGGTTTATCAACAAGTTGGAGATCTTGGTTTATTTCTGTTTAATGACGCTTTACTTCTCGCCACTCTCACCTTCAAGTTTGTTCCTTTCTCAAGGCTGGTTCAAAGGAATTACAAGTATGTATTTTACCGTGGTGATCGTGTTGATGAAATAAAACTTTGAAAGAGCTCAGTCTTGTTGTAATTTGTGTATTTTACCCTGGATTTTGTTAAACAAACAGAAGTACCTCGTGTTTTTAACTTATTAGAACACAAACTGCAAGTTTAACGAACGCCTTGAAAGTCTTTCCTTTTTAATTGTTCACTCTTCCAATACCGTATTTACTCGAATAAGCGCCATCCCCTGTGATTAAGCGCCGCACTCAAATAAGCTCCGCATTTGGGAAAAAAAAAGTTAATTAGCGCCGCCCCCGAATAAGCAATGTGGCCCTGATAAAATCAAATCGTTAATTCGTTAATTCTGTCGGTTTAATACGGAAATTAATATTACCGTAGTTAATACACTAAAATCTTTGCGGCTTCCAACTTTCAAATAANATTAAGCGCCGCACTCAAATAAGCTCCGCATTTGGGAAAAAAAAAGTTAATTAGCGCCGCCCCCGAATAAGCAATGTGGCCCTGATAAAATCAAATCGTTAATTCGTTAATTCTGTCGGTTTAATACGGAAATTAATATTACCGTAGTTAATACACTAAAATCTTTGCGGCTTCCAACTTTCAAATAAACACCACCCTATTAAGCAGCGTGGTGCTTATTCGAGTTGATACGGTAATCATTAGAAACTCAGTCTTTGTTTTTACTAGAGTTAGAATACTCATTAACTTTTAACTCCCGTGAAAACGTAATAATAAGGGGAGAAATCTCGAAATTGAACGAATTCTTGAATTGTTATTTTTTGTAAAATAGAAAAGCGAAAAGCGCGCGCCAACGAGATAATAATACAGTTAACTACAAAGGTTCGAGGATGGTTCAGGATGAAGACTGATTTAAGCTAAATGTTTTAAGTTGCACCGTCACATAGCTACGTCAAAAGGTTCCTGTATGACAAGCGCAAACTCAAGTAAGAGTGCTGAGCGCAAAGTAGAGGAAACAGCGAGCAGAGAAAGAGGTTGATTGTAAAGCCTGCTCCTTTTCTGACTGGCTAGTGCGTTTACATTAGTTGTCGTTTTTCGAGACTCTCTTGACTAAAGGACGGTCTACTACGAGAAATTAGCAAGATTAAGCAACCACAACGACAACGTCACGAAACAATTGGTTTTATGAGCAAAACAACAGCTCTGCACGGGCGTCACGCTTTTAAGCACATTTCTTTGACGTCCACCGCACGACTAGAACGTAAAACCTCCTAACACGACGTTTTATGGAGGATGTGAACATAAGACGACGAATTTTTCTTTTTCTTTTTGAACCAGGTCAAAATCTTAAGTATTCCAACACTAGAAAAAATCACCTACTTTTGACAAATTGAGAATATTCAAATAGACGTGATAAAGTTTGAATGAACGCAAATTCATTTTTTTGACGGCGTTTTCACTGCCGTCGTTGTATTTGTCGTGTAAGGAGGCTCGATAGGGTTTTGCAGGGTCAATTCCTCCGAATCCGAAATCGCTATTAACAAGGATTTGGAAAAATTATCAACACAGCTGTATTAGATAAAAATGGCAATTTGTAATGATTATGGTTACAATGACATCGGAGTTGTCATAGCAACAAAATGACGCCATTACCTATTTTACTTGCAGCAGTATGCACAAACTTGGGAGGTATTGACCCTGAAAAACCCCATCGAGCCACCTCAACCTCCCTTGCCAAATGGAAGTCAAACTTGACTCGTGGATTTTTTTAGATTTCAAGCGTGTATGACCTTGAAGAAATTGAGGGTGGAAAACCTGGCTGATTCCAAATGTAAGTTCATTGTTATTAGTTACTAGTACTTGTCTGTGATCTCGGTTAAAAGCCTCTACAGCAAGTTACGTTTATGCCCCGTCACACTTATCAGAATTTTTGAAAATGGAGATTTTTTAAGCCTTCCATCCACACTTGAACAGCGTTTCGCAGCTTTTCGAAAAGGGTTCCCAGAGAGGAGTTTTTTAAAAATGCCTGCTTAACGAAAACGGAGGTTTTCGAATACGCTATCTGATGAATATGAATGCTATCGTACTTCCATCGTTTTAGCGTTTCCGTGTGGAAGGGCGAAAACGATTCGAGTACGCTACGTGTGCACCCGTATTTTTTCGAAAACGGAGAATAAAATCAGCTCCGTTTTCAACAACATCCGGATCCGTGTGGACGGGGCCTCACTTCGTTTCTGCCTATCTTCATTCACACTCTAGATGTAAAAAATGCTTTTACCATCGTGTCACCAAAGAGACTGTGGTTGTGCCAGGCGCACTCTTGGGACCAGAAATTTCAGTGGCTTTCAGTTCTAGAAAGTTCCATCGCTGCTGCACTGGAAAGAGTGTGAAAGCCTTAATGAAGAGTTACGTCATTCAAGAGACGCAGCAAAGGGTGTGTCACCCTTTCTCGCTGCCAGCCCCGGACGCAGTTACTCAAATAGACGAATATGAATGGTCCATTGTTTACCTCAAGAATAGCAGAGCTAGCGAGCGTGAAAATCATGAGGAGAGGTGACACGCAAAGGGAAGCCTTTCCACGCGGGTGGTGATTTTCACGCGCGCTCGTCTATTTCCTTCGCCCAGTATCCAATACTTGAGGAAAAAGAAAGACTACTGGTGTTCTGAGCCCTAGGTACTGTATCTGAATCAAAGGTGGATAGCGCTATCCAATTGGTATTAGGGGGCTTAAGCGAAGACGTGTTTGAACGACTCACGTCAAATAGAAGTGTATTTTTTGCATTGTTGGGTATCGATTTGAGCCAAATGTTTTGGGCCACCTAGGGCTATGATAATCTGGACGTATTACCGTTGTTTCGGATACGAAAATGACACAGTTGAGTGAATGATGCTATTCGTCGTGTTTTGTGTGAGATAGGCGAGTTAGTAGAGACCTTTAGATTCTGAGACGAGTACAACCACGAGTACGAGATTCTCTCAATACTAAATAGTGCTTGCGCGTGAACCAGCGTCATTTTGGCGGGAAAACATGATTGCCGTCGTCATTCCACCAAGAGTTTTAGCGAGAATGTCGTGGTAACGGAAACTGACAAGTTTTAAAGTGTTAGAGGTTTTATCATTTTGCCGTCGGGAGATGGCTTAAGCTCTTTTAGTAAAGATAACAGTGCTAATTTTTTTGGTGAAAAAGAAGTGTAATGAAGCTTTCCGGGGTGTCCATAATTTGACAATACGCAAACAAACTTTAAGTCAAATCTGGTACTCGTAGTTGTTCTCGTCCTAGAATCTAAAGGTCTCTATTTTCTTGTTTTTCTCACGATAGTCACGAAAAGCTTGCACGGCAATCGACAGGGACGATCACATGACCATTAGCCTTCGGCTGTCGCTGACCTCCATTCTAAAAGTGACGAAAAGAGCTTTTTGTTCGGCGTGTGTAACAATAGCCGAAAAAGGCCTCTTCTCACGTAAGCTTACTCGCCGCGTTTGCCTCATTCAACATGAAGGGGAGCGTTCACTCGCTCGCGGCAATTTATTCAAGTTGTTTATTTTTTTAATTGTTGCTCTATACATAAGTTATCTTATGGACATTTCTGCTTTTCGCCGTATGCCGTGAACGCAATCTTTAACTTTTCTTGTGTTTGCGCCGTTTCAAACCGCTTTCTTCTCGTCCCTTTAAGTCAATGCTGTCGATTAGCTGTGCGAAAATATATACATATTATATTTTTTCATTGATAACTTATGTATTTGAAAGATAATATATATATCATTGCGATTTTCTTGTGTGACATACAGTTTGTAGACAAAAAATTGATATATTTTGGTATATTTTTTTGTAATATATTGCAGTTTTTTTCCCTCTTATCACACAGGGAACCCACACTTTTATTTGTAAACTGCACACGGAAATTAAATGTGATTTAAAATGTTACCGATTCTGTTCTTAAGTCTGCTGCTGAGTAAAGTGAAACGATGCAATGCTTTATTTTATGTGGCTTGTCTCGCATTTCACTGTTGGTTTCACGCGATTGTTATTATCGTCTCGCGTTTCACGGTTGGCTATTAATTTATTAACAATTTGAATTAACGGTAATGAATAGTGACAAGGGTCGAAATTCCACAGCTGCTCTCGTAAAATCAGTGCCTCCAGTTAAATGGACCAGTTTACCACGCAATGCCGCGCGAGGTAACATTCCACGATGACCTTTCCAGTTAAAACGAAAACAAAAAGGCAATATCTGGATATATATGCAATCGAACTTGAAACAATCTCAGAACTAAGCAGAAAAGCTCAAGAAACTCTCTGACGTCAATCGCAAAGTTAACTTCCGGTCCAGTCAAGTGGAAGCATTCATAGATCGAAAAGTCAGTAATCAGTTTCTGATCATTTTGAATGCGAAAGATTTTTATTTTAAATAGAAAAAAAGTGGCCCACCGTACATTTTATCCCTTCAAATGATGTTGGGTTAAATTTTGGGTAAAAACCGCACTTAATACTTGAGTACAGTCTGGAAATAAAACGGTCACGCGCCCTCAAACAAGCGCAGGTACAGAATATACTTTGTAGCGCGCCTCTGGACACGCTCGAATTTTCGAATTAGATCTAATTTAGACTGCGGAGTCCAGACTTTCTAGTAGACCATTTGCTGACGCTAAATCTGGGTTTGAATAAAGTGCGGGATAGATAAGGTGCTGCTAAATTATTTGTACATTTATGAACCATAACCACATCGGTAAGAAAGAGTTTGTCGTAGACGTTGAGCCATCCAATTGACTTGCGCCTCTGAAATGTAATCAAACTTCCTAAGCTCTAAAACAATCCTACAGGCAAAGTTCTGAATAAGCTGCAGTTTACGAGTGTCTTTCTAAGAAGTGTTATTCCACTCTGTAGTGTTGAACAATGAAAAACCCTAGTGAACACAAAAGCATTAATGGCTAGGATCAGTGTCTTTCTATCGAGCAAGTTATAAATACGTCGAAATGCGGATTAATTGTAGAGACAGCTTGAAGACAGCTAAGTATAGGCTCATCATCATCATAAGGGAAGTTAGAGTTCATCCACACCCCAAGGTCGTTGACAACCGATCGTGAAGGATAAATTAGTTTTTTACATTTGGTTATTCAAACAAGACTTGTATCAAGACAGCTTTCAAGGCGCTAGTGATACCTATCCTCGAGTACGCTTGCCCAGTCTGGAACCCTTATCTGGTGAAACACACCAAGGCAATCGAAGCAATTCAGAGAAGAGCGTCCCGACTAATATGTGGCCCCGACAAAGAATATCCTGAAAGACTTTTAGAGTTAAAATGGGACTCTTTAGAACTGAGACGGAAATATCTTAGCCTAGTTCAAATGTATAAGATTATATTTGGTTACTGTGATATCAATTGCCATCATTACTTTGATATTATTGGAATAACTCGAACTAGAAGTAAGCATGAGTATAAAATAAGGCCTAAAGTTGCCCGTACAAATTATTTTAAATATTCATTTTTTCATAGATATATTAATGATTGGAACTCTTTGCCTTCTGAAGTAATGTCATCTCCTAGCCTTCAGTCTTTTAAAGTTTCACTGATTAAGTACCTTCGCTCATAATTTACCTTAAAATACTAGGCATAGTGTCTTTACTATAAGTTTATGCATTATTATTAGGCATCTAGGTTTATAATTTATAGTCTAATTTATAGTCTTTTAATATATGTTTATATATTAATTAATTTTTTTTTTTTCTTTTTTCTTTTTTGGAGGGTATGTCTTAGCATGGGAATTTGGTTTCCCCCTACTACCGTCCTGTTAACTATTTTTGTATTTTTGTTCGATTGTATATGTTAGTATTAGTTCATTTGTATCAGTTATGTATGGTTACGAACTGTGATTAAAGATTAAAGACTAAGAGGTAGACAAGGGGTAGTGACAAAGCTCTTGTCGGGTTAGGTACGCCCACTAACAATAGCTTGGTTTTATCAGGATTTATTAGAAGCGAGTTCGCACGACACCACCTTGAAGCTTACATGAGGTAACTGTTAAGGGCATCCACTGCCTCACTCACGTCGCGAGGAGGAAGTGATAAAAGGAACTTGGTGTCGTCCACGTATCCCATCATTTGACACTACTTAAGAACGGAGAAAAGCTTATTTACTTATAACCTGTCAACCACTATTTATTTTATCCACAAAAGAATAAGTAGTTTCATTTCAGGTTCATCCACAAAAAATTATTTTGGACAGTTTTCACCTGCTCATCTCTTTATTTAAGAAAATTTCAACTCAGTTGAATCTAGCGTTTGCCTTTTGCCGTGAACGTGATTCTAAAGGGGTGTACTCCTTTCGGCGAACCAAAAGCTAATTTTTGACCCTAGATTGCCTGCACAGTATGGGCTTTTGCCGTGAAAACTGTCCGTAACAACGGAGTGTCAATAAGCAGGTGCCTGAACTATACTTTGACAAAGTATGTTTAAACAACAGTCATGCAAAGCGTTAAGTTTTCCATAAAATGAATTTTTACTAGCATGTTTATTTCTGCTGTTTGTATTTTCTTGCCGTACTAGGTTTACATATGTCTAATTGCAAAACAAAGTTACAAACCTGCTAAGTTCTCTGTGCGTGATTGAGGTTATCTATAGAATCATTTTAAAGGTTAGACATTTGACTCGCTTCAGTTGTGACTGATCACTCAGCAAACATACATTAAACACACCTGAAAAAAACGAAAATTGGAAAAGTTTTGAAAAAAAATTGGAAAATTTGCGAAAAGTCGAAAATTAGTTGTGTCAGTGTAAAGCAATGAAAGAGAAGGTTGAGAGGGCCCCACCCAATCAACGTTAAAATTTTTCGCAATTTTTTTTTTGAAATGGTCTTAAATCTGCAACGGGTTTTCGACTCGATCATCAACATGACAAAGAACTGCGAAAAATGGCAGGTAACGAGAAAAATCTTTAATTGGCAATTCTCGCAAATAATTTTGTAAAATCCACAATTTCATGGCTACTGACTCACTCAACAACATGACAAAGAACCGCAAAAATTGCAAATATCTCTTAAAATGTCGACCTTGCAGTTTTTTGTAATTCTCCCGAATTTTGTGACTTAGAAGGACAAAAAAGCGGAAAAATGGGAATGTACACGAAAGTTTCTCAACCTTGCAAAAGTCGCAAATTTTACCACGAACGCGAAAAATTGCCAACCTCGCGATTTCAGTCTAGAGTTTTCGGAAGCACACACGAAAAATCTCAAATTTGGCAGCTGCGTGCAAAGAGACGAGTGCCAACCCACAGTTAATTTTATTTTTAAAGTCCTCATAAAATTCTTTTTAATTTCTGACTAATTTACGCGCCGTCTTCATTTTTATTAGTGAAAGCTAATCAGCATGCCATTTTCATTTCGAACCTCAGGTGCAAGACTGACATCTGCCATTTTACTTTTGGCCTCGGCCAAAACATCCCCAGGTGATCTGCTGTTTAAATAGGCATATTTTATTCAATTCGAAGTAGCTGTCCGCTATCTTCCTTTGTATTTATACTCTTATACAAATGTAAGCCCAACTTCCAAAACTTCGCGGGATCATTTTTTTTAATTAGAGGGCCGGCTGAGAATTGTTAATTATCTTGATCTCCATGCCAATGAGGTCTCTTGCCGCTGCTAAAGAGGTTAACATTCGGGTTTATTTTTCTTTTAAAAGCCTAAAAGATCACTGAATTATCTCCAAAACTTAAAATACCAAAGTATTAAAGCCCAGAGAGAGCTTTCATTCTTAGAGCCTTAAATCTCAAAAAGTTCCACATTGCTTATTATTTAGGCGAGAGAAAATCGGGATGTTAAAGCGACAGCTTTATTTGTATGCCCGAAGGCCCGGTTAAAATATACCATCTTTCACTTCTTTGTTTTTCTTTACTTAGTAAAACTTGAGCACATTGGTTTGCACGACAGGTGTGTGATTGAAAGGCTTCGGGCGCACTATATGCAAATTAATATTTTCGCCTTGCGAAAATCGTGTATTTAAGCTTGAGCATTTTCCAGTCTACTCTGCAACTGCAGCGTTTGTTATGAATTATGGCGTTCGAGATGTAGATTGAAGACGACGAAAAAGTCCGATAAGGTTAGCAGTCTTTAACCCTTGGTGAAAAACTGAAATAGAACAACTTTTTTTCTCTTCGGAAAAAAAAGCAAGGAAAATCTGCGTGGGGAGAAATCACTTTTCTGGAAAATGGAATCCTTTTTGTCTCTTGATGAGCTATGTATTAGTTTCTCGGATCACGATTTGAGAACCAGCGCTGATTCCAGAACCCAAGACCAACATGAAAAGGATTCTTGCTACGTACTAAAGGACAGCAAAGACCACCGAGGCTCGCTTTGCGTGCGGGATGACTTTCATAAACAGAGAAAAGGTAAAATGAAAGAATTCCATCTTGAAGCCGATAATGTCGTGGCAAAAAACGATAGTCGAAATACATATGCTTGCAAATTACCAGATATAAAACCCACCAATAAATCGATGCAAATGATTCATGTTATGGCGGGGAAAATGGGACGGAGTCGAAAGTTTTACTCCATCAATGCGGACGATTTCACAGTTGGAGCAAAGCCAGGGACGTTTAGTGATCTAAGAAGCGAGGAGAGAGAAGAGCTGAACGCCAGCAGAAGACGCCGAAATCACTTGCCACTTGGGGAAAGTAAAAACTATTCTGGTGGACAAAACTGGAAATGTAATCCTGCAAATGATGCGAAGTCTCTCATGGCTAATTGGACCAGGGGAAAAGAACCGTACTCCGGCTCGGCGCAAAGCGGGTTCTTGGCAGCCTCACAGAGGAAAATCTTTTCCCCTCGTCAATCAGTGAAAAGTGGCCCCCAACTGATCGAAGTAAACGAAGAATTTGCTGAGACCTTACAAATGGATTTACCGCAAAAGGTTACTAAATTTCTAGAAATGGAAATCTCGCTTATCAAGGGAAGAGAGAAAACAAATGCGATGCAAAAGCGTAAAGGAAGTGTCTTTTCCACCTACCGTGCTTCTGATACCCCGGAAGGTGTCGATCTTAAATTGATAAAAACGAGAAAATCTTGGGATTCTGCCTATCTTGACAGGATGGAAAGATTATAGAAATGCAAACTCACATTATGTACGTGGCTGGAGAAAACAGCTGCCTCTCTTACCTCCTATCGCCGCTAGGGACGTTTCGAGAGAAAACGCCTCTAGCGGCAACGAGCGAGGAGGGTGGACGGCTGTTTTCGCTGGCTACTCATTATAAACGCTAACTTGTTGAAACGGTGTGTGTGTTGGTGGGCACCCCTTTGTTCAGGACTGTAACGTTAATATTTATGATAAAAAATAATAAATGATAATTTAAAAGTAAATAAAAAGGATGAATAAAATGAAAACACATTAAGTACCCTGGTATATTGTTTCGTAGAAGAAAAAAGAAAAAAATTATAGCAATTCTCTACTGAATTCTGTTGAGACCTAGTCTGTCACACAACCGGACCGTTTTTAGTGTCGTCAGGCAACGCTCGGTAACGTTTGTGGGGTGGAGCATTGCGTGATGACACTAATAACAGAATAACGGCTGTGTAGTAGTTGAGACCCTACTTTACGGACAGCCGCTTAAAGGAGCTGTGTCACCCAGTTAATCAAAATTCAAACAGTTGAATCCGGAGGGTGCTCCTGGGAATTCTTGGTGGGGGTGTGCCGCCCGGTTCTCAAACCAAATCCTGACCCGATTTCAGACCCAAAAATGTAATTTCAAGTATACATTGCCGTAGTTCCCTCAAAGACCATACCCGATTCCAGACCAAACTGGGCAAAGTGTATACCCGTTTTCAGACCAAAACGGCGAATAACCCTACCCGATGGGGCGGCACATACCTATATAGCCTATATATTAAAAATTATTCCTCGAGCCCGAATGGGCTCTGACTCAATAGCCCATGAGGCCGAAGGCCGAATGGGCTATTGACTCAGAGGCCATGAGGACGAGGGGAATAATTTTTTTAGTAAAATCCAACTAGTTGGTCAAAAATATCGAGACAAAACAACTTTAGCTAGCAAAACGCGATTTAGCCGCCATTGTTTTGGTTTTCTCAAAGCCGGCGCTTGTCGCTATTAGTGGGCTTTAACATATAGCCTAGTAGTAGCTCAACCAATCAGAACGCAGCACTGGTTGGATTATACTAAAAGCGAGTATCCCCCGGGCAATTTGAACCGTCACCAAACTGAGTAAAACATAAAAATAGCCGCTCAAAACATTAAAAGAAGGTATGAATAAAACAGCAAACACAAAAGGAAGCACGGGTGGAGCAAGAAAATTTGAAAAGGATTGCAATTGTGCTTTTTGAAAACTTCTTCGTCCCCCAGTATTTTAAAGTTCATTTTTCGTGTTTGTAACGTTTGAAATAACGCTTCATACGCTCGGGAGACATTTTTGTTTGACATGAAGCGATGATTTTGCCATTCAAAAGTACGTTTTCAAGTTCCATAGCGAATAAAGACGCATAACTGGCATTATTAATAAGATGAACTAAACACGAGTGACACAATGGGACACAATGTCCATGGGAATGACCTTACATTTTTTCTTAATTCAGCCCGCTTAATACAGACCGAGCCCGTTATTGCGGACAACAGCCTGCGTTGCTAGAGGATTTTTTGATGCGTTTCTCATTTGTTGTTCCTACAGGGTTCGTATTAAAACCGGTTCGTAAAGTAAGAGATACAGCCGCGCGAAAGCTGAACCGAGGACGAACAAAAAAACGTTCTCCATTGACTTCGCGCGTTCTCTAGTTTGATCTCGCGCGTGGGTGTCTCTCGAACACACACTGGGTACACAGAAAAAAACTCACCAAAAAACCACCAGCTACGCAGGCTATGCGAACAACGGACAATTGTTTCTTGCCTAATCAACAAATTCTCATAGAAAGACAACCTCGCTAATGGGAACACTTCATTATTAACTGTGTGCTGTAACAGACCTGAGAACAATTTCCTTTTTGAAGGTCAACAAACCCCTTCTGTTGAAAGCATGTTGATGTGCCCAGCCAAGAGCCATAATAGGACCTATTATACGTCTATTATGATCTCTTGGCCCAGCGCTACAGTGAAAATCCAGGACCTGCCACCCGTCACAGAATGTAAAACGTAATAAAAGAATCGTTGATAAACGTTGAGCAANACAGCCGCGCGAAAGCTGAACCGAGGACGAACAAAAAAACGTTCTCCATTGACTTCGCGCGTTTTCTAGTTTGATCTCGCGCGTGGGTGTCTCTCGAACACACACTGGGTACACAGGAAAAAACTCACCAAAACACCACCATCTACGCAGGCTATGCGAACAACGGACAATTGTTTCTTGCCTAATCAACAAATTCTCATAGAAAGACAACCTCGCTAATGGGAACACTTCATTATTAACTGTGTGCTGTAACAGACCTGAGAACAATTTCCTTTTTGAAGGTCAACAAACCCCTTCTGTTGAAAGCATGTTGATGTGCCCAGCCAAGAGCCATAATAGGACCTATTATACGTCTATTATGATCTCTTGGCCCAGCGCTACAGTGAAAATCCAGGACCTGCCACCCGTCACAGAACGTAAAACGTAATAAAAGAATCGTTGATAAACGTTGAGCAAGGCACATTTTAAAAGGCAAAATCACTGCACAAAGTGTTTTCTCCTTCCATAAAATTTTACTTTTTTGTAGAGGGGCCTCCTAGGGGTTTTGGTGATCGAGGGAGTATGGGAAACTGAACCCGGCCGATACTTGTCATACTCATGTCCAGGGAGGTAACCTTAGAGGAACAGAGGACTGGCTCCCGAAACTGTTGAATATTATAAGGATCATGAGAAAGCCCCTTTCGCCTGAAAACGCGAAAAAATATAGCCTACGAGCAGTCTTATTTTTCTTTCAAAGTTAATGCGCAAGAAACCCAAGCACACAAGATGAGAGCGGCGAAGTCGCGAGCTGCGATAAACGAGGGCGTAACTGGCCCGAGAAGAAAAAGTCTTTTCTCGTCTGGTCCTAATCCTTTATTGCCCCCGCAGGGATTTCGCCCAGACGGCGAAATCCCAAGGAGGCACTCTAGTCTGACTTGCGCGTATATTAAGGAAAGTACTTACAGTTGAAATATACAGTCAGTATGCCAGAAAAAATCTCGATTTGCTTGAACAGGGGCCGCGAGGAATCGGTAACTTCATCTGCGCTTAACGAGTGTCTTTTTGTCCATAACTTTCAAAACAACTGCTCCACAGAATGTCACTGATAACACGTAACGCAAAAGAGTATCGAAATAAGACTGCACAATAAGTGTCACAAAATCTACCTAGGCGGTCCCTTCAGGATTTTCTGTCTTTACGTCATCCTAACCATTTCGTACTTGTGGGCGCAAAAAATAGAAACGTCATCATTACCTATAAGGTGCGTATAACTGTCTATATATAAACACTTAGAGAGTTTTCCAGCGGTGCGGGTTCACAATTCTTTGATTGGAAACCTTGCCAGACACTCTTTCTCTCTCTTTGACCTGAATAAGACTCAGCCCCAAACAAGCAAGACGAGTGAACAACGGCTAGCTTATCTGGACGCTTAGAGAAATTCGCCGACAGTCACATTCTGTGCTGACTTATTCCCACCTCACAGATGTCCTTTTGCTATAAAGTTTAAAATAAGACTAGAATGTGCGAGCGTGAATTGATCAAACGTCCTTTTAATTTCTAAGGCTTACTTTCCGGTCAATAAAATGAACCGAATGTAAAAAGTGAAAGAGAAATAGCGAAAAATTCAACTTCTAATTAAATCCTTTCTTATGGTTTAGAATAAACTATTCTCGAAATTGAGAATGTTTTGATCGAAGCTGTGTAAATCGAACTAAAAATGTGCATGGAACCTTGCGTTTCCTGTATTTATCTCACCTATTGTATGGAATATGTGTGAAAATCTTCATTATGAATCGGTATATTTCAAAGAGCTACACCCAAAGAGCAAGAATACTATTGACCGACAATATACAGAGCGGGGGCAGCTGTAGTGTCAACTATTACTAGTTGTAACATAACGTCGTGGTTTGCAACCGCGCTGGCTGAGATAAGAGAAAGGCGCACTGCAAGCAGCAAAAGACCCCGCCTCCCCCTCCACCCCCGCCTCCTGTTGCCCGGGTAACTGAAGCCTAATGGCGCGGATGCTAAGCTACAAGATATTTCCCATAATGTCTTTCGGTATTACTTCCGAGTACACCTCCAAGTGACACTGGAAAAATATTCCATGTTTCTGCAGTTAACAGAAATTGTTTTGTTCGTTTCTCTCCAAATGTAGGCGTCTTTTACGGCTCTAATTCAGCTGCTGTTGTCTTTGTTTTGTTATTTTATTGATATGAGTAAGTATCGCTTTGCCCTAGGCCTTGTAATCTGTTTTGAGGATGTCGTTGTCGTAATGAACCGAGGCGGTTCTCTAACCGGTCAATGAAGAGTAATTGAATCGGAGATGGTTCTTTGTCCCTAGGTCGCACAGCTCGCGTAACCTTCAGCTACAAGGCTGAACAAGACGACGAACTTTCTCTGGAAGTTGGAGACGTGATTAAAAGTATAGTTGATACGGATGTAGGATGGTGCGAGGGAGAACTGAACGGAAAAAGAGGGATGTTTCCCAGTAATTTTGTTGAGGAAATAGTTGCGGAGTCCTCCGATAATAACACCGATTCAGGTGAGAAATTTTCACGGCTTTTGCACGTTGGCATTTTTCCTTAATCCTCAGGTCGACTAAGGTTTTGTTTGGTAAAAATAACATGGTAAGTTCACTTTACAGTCATGAGTTTATTATAACTTTATGTACATAGGCTCACGTATCCGCGGACTACTCAAGCTACAATGTGCAAGCCATTGATTTTCACGTAGTTGTTATTTTTAGGTTACCCAAATAATAATTGTACAGAAATCGTGAGAAGTCACTATAAAGAGCGTCATAGATTCTTCTCAAGTATTTCCTGTTGCTTTTAATACACACGTTTGTTAATATTGACAGCTCCTGTACTCACGATCTCAGATCGTGGAAGCCTTAAATATTTGCAAACGTATAAGGTCATTCTGTAGTTTCACTTTCCTATAAGCTGCGTCCGTAAGCTTTAAGCTGACTTATGTTTCAAGTAAAGAAGTCGCAGGTCTGGTGCATTGCAAATGTTTCTTTTTCACCGAGATTCAGATCTCTTCTGGTGATTTCTTGGATGTCAGTTATAAATTGAAACGTTGGTTGAGAATGATTATGATGTTTATATAAGCAACTCAGAAAAAAAAAATTCTTCCAAATTCTTCTAACAGGAGTGTCAAACTTATGAACTTCTGGTTACTGGTAAAGATTATAAATTCTATAGTACTGAGCTGAAGCTATCATGTTAAACTATATGTTACAGCCCAGTTAAAATGAGGCAGCAGTCGACAATTGTGCTGCTTTCATTGGAATATGTGCCACCTATTCAACACTTGGGTTGAGTAATATTTAATAAAAACCACACAGATTTAGGTCTTTGCCGCTTGTTTTTGTGGTTATCTTGCCAACTATTGTAAAAAGATCGCAAAGCATCATACAATCCTACTGAGTGGTCAGTGCATCGGGTTTACAATCCAGCTTCCCAGGTTTCTCTCACCACCAGTTGGATTTGTTTCTCAACTGGGGTGAATTCAAATTCTCTGCCTCACTTGTGAAAAGCCAACTGTCTCGCTAATGACTCTACTAACTACTTTGATTTTTGATTTTCACTAATTCAAGTCATAAGGGCTCTTTAAAACTCCAACTCTGACTCCATTGCTAGTGAAAGCCAGCCTTTAGAGCATTTGTTGGTCATTGGGCGCTATTTTAATTAATTAATAATCATTTTAGTTGCAGGAAAGAAGGCAAGAGTAACATTTGATTATGATGCCCAGGACAAGGATGAATTGACTTTAAAAGTGGGTGAAATCGTCAATGTTCTGGGTGAAGAAGAAGCAGGCTGGTGGAAAGGACAACTGGCCAACAAAACTGGAGTCTTCCCTTCAAATTTTGTAGAGCTCATTGATGAAAAGGATGCTGCACAAATGGAGACACAACACAAACATTCAGGTTCGTTGTATCCTGAGAAAACAGCATTTCCACCATTGGTGTTCCTGCGAAATGAAGTCTGAGAAACAAGCCCAGAAGTTCCATACTGATGACGTGTCACTACTCACATCAGGTGCTTCTGATTGATTGAAGTTATTTTCCTATGTGGCATGACCAATCAGAAGCACAACCCAGATCTGGGTAGGGATGTGTCATCAGTATGGAATTTCTGCACTCATTTCTCAGATGTCATTTTATAGGGAAACCAGTGGTGGTGTCATGGCAATGTCAGCTGTTTTCTCAGGCTAGGTTTGTTGTACTCGTATGTAGATTCTTCATTTGTTCACCCTTGTACACCATACAAGTACGTGTACACTGTATGCAACTGTTTGTTGATAATTCCATTGTATGTCTAAAATAAACCATGTGTTTTTCGAGAAAATATCTGTACAATAACAATAACAATAACATTTATTTTTTGTATTGCGCCTTTTCTATAAAATATTCAAAAGTGCATCACAATAGTAAATAATAACTAAATTTTACAAATCTTTCTATCAAAATCATAAAAAATATTTACATTAAATGAGTAAAAGATAATTACAAATAAAGATATAGATATACTAAGATAACTGAAATGATTCCTTAAATAAAAAATGTCTTAATTAAAGTCTTAAAAGATTCTAAGTTCGTTGCTTTGCGCGCAGACCTTGGCAGCTTATTCCATAGGAAAGGAGCAGCTACCTGGAAAGCTCTGTCTCCCAATGTTTTCTTGCAGGGTTCGTAAATACGCCAAATTTGGCGTATTTTATGCCAAAATTGTTCAGATGACTCCACATAGGTTACGGAGGGAGTCACTTCGACTCCAGAAATTTTCGGTAACAAAAACAGTTTTGTCCTTACCTTTTTCGCAACAAATACAATTTACGTTAATTGTAAATGTTGTACTAGAACCTTAATTAAATCATCAAAATTAAAGAATTATACTGCACGACAAAGCAGGAAGAGCGTAAATTACGGTCAAAGTTTACTCGATGACCGCCATCATGGAGTTGAGCTGTCCAGGTCAGCGGACCGCCACAGGTACTTCATGTATCCCTCACGATAGTGTATACATGTCAGGACCACGTGCTGGCAAGTCTGAAAATGGCGTTTTTCGTTGTGATACTTGACTCCAAATATTCCAAAATGACTCCAAAATTTGTGAAGCAGAAGTCACAGTGACTCCACTTATCAATAAAATTTGCAAACCCTGTCTTGGTTTTCACATTTGGTCTTTCCAACAAACGACGATTGTCGTTGTACCCAGCTAATGTAGGGGCATTGGGGCATTGGGAATTCCAGGCGGCGAAGGGGGCTCTCCCTTTTATAAGTATTTAGAGATGAATTATCCCTTTGTCTCGTAGACCATATTATGGCAAAATATTTGTCATGCTTACTTTTAAATCTGTGGATAAAATCCTCATGGTATTACCATTCAAATGAGACCCCTTTGGCAGAACTTTTGCAAAGTGCTATTCATTTCTTAGGATTTTACAAAGAGGAATTTAAATGTTTCTTACTTTTTGTGTTTACAGTTTCCATAGAAACTGTAACACTAATAAAATAAGTATGCGGTCATGAAATGTTGTGTCCGTAATGTCCATTAGTACATGTAAGAAAAGCGATAATTCTTATGGCCAGATACAAAATACTGTATGATTCAGTTTGCAAACAAGGGGAGTCTATTATGCTTTAGTCATTACTTGTCTTTTTGTCAGTTTATTAAATTTTTCTCTATAGTCAAAAGAAAATTTTGCAAAAGAGGGGTAAGTGTGCTACATAATATGAAGGTGAAGTGTGACCTGTTGCGTGAGAAAAATAAGCGTGACCTGTTGCGTTGAAAAAAATATTTTTCCTGATGCAAGAAGTCAGGCTTCATTTTCTCTTTGACGCTAGTCATGAGCATGCTAGACATGAAGGTGAAACATAACTTAACCTATTTGCTCCTGGAGATTTTGCCGAAAATCGCGTTTTGAAGCTAGTCGAGTGGTTTTCTGGTCACTGTCTTGCTATAAAGAGCTTAAACTTACTGGTCAGTCATTTACAGGTCATACACTTCACGGCCTTCTGATCCAGATGCAAAATATCAGCTTGCGAAGTTCGGGCATTTGCAGAAAGCAAAATTTCAAGATAGTTTTTGGGTTTAAAAGTGACACAGCAGTCTTGACTTTTACTTTTCGCTTTCTCTCCTACCCTCTTTTCTCGCTTTTCTTGCCTCAATTTTTTTTCTCTTGCTGGGTATTTAGTAGGCTTCATTTTGGTGGGAAGAGTTTTTAGGAAAGCTTTTAGGATCTTAAGATTAGGTGAAAGGAAAGGTAGGTGGGGAATGGAACGAGATTTTCATGGAGATTTTCATGTAAATGTTGCATGGTTTTTTTGCCTCTTTCTCCGGTGTCCTTGACTGAATTGTGCTCATTCTGGTATGGTTTGAAAGATCTCCTCACTCTGCACAAGTTAGCCTACAAAGTTGTCCAGGACCGTTAAAACTGATGATGTCACAAGGGGTAGAAAGGACGTGTATCCGCACAGGCGGTTACTTGCGGTTCAGGGACGAATGGGTTAATGCATCAGATACAGATATATTACTAATAATAGGTTTCTTAACAATACATTGTATATTTTTTCTTCAGTGGAAGCTACAGCACCTAGTGCAGAGCATCTGGATGGTTTATTGGAAGAGGAGGAACCTGAAATAAAAAGATCCTCCAGTGTGGGAGCATCTTCCAAGAAGTTACCTGGAGGTGGTATGGGATTTGGCAACCTTATCAGTGCTGATATTTTAGCTGAGAAGAGACTCAAGAAAGTCCATCACGATGACAAGAAAGAAAAGAAAGAGAAGAGTTCTGTCTTACACGCTGAACCGAGCAAGTCACCATCCACAGTGAAAACCAAAGCGCCTGCGACGGTAAGGAAACATCGTTCCAAAGCTTCTTCATTTCCTTCTTCACTTGTTTTTGGCTTATCATAGAATAATCCATTCTCATGGTTAAAGGAGCTGTGTCACAAAATTCAGCCAAATTAGGTAATTACAAAATGTGCGTTAAATTAAGAGAAACATAAAAATAATCGCTTAAAACTTTTAAGGAAGGTTAAAATAACACAACAGATACAACAGATGCCATGGATGGGCAAAACTGAAGAAGACTGAAACGGATTGAAATTAGGGTTTTTGAAAACTGTTCAGCCTAACAGTTTTTCAAAGTTTATCTCTGCTGTATGCAACCTTAAAAAAAAAATGCTCAGGAGACATATTTGTTTGTCTTGAGTCTCTGATTTTCTCATTTACATGTAATTTCCTTGCTTACTTTAAGTTCCATAGCAATTGAGGGCGAGTAATTGGCAAAATTTAAAACAAAATGAACCGGACTGCCGTGACACAGCCGCTTTAATATCTCGGGGTTTAAAGTCACTGACTTCCATTGCTTTTTCCTTTCTTTAGAGTGCTAAGTCAAGGCCAGCACCTCCAGTTCCTCAATGTCCACCAAGTAAGCACTTTAACCCTTCAAGCCCCAATATCAACATACAAATTCTCTACGCTGATCTCCACATACATATCCTTGAAAAACTAGTTGAGAGAATTTGTTTTAAGATCAAAACATTTTTTCTTGAGTGATCATTTTATTAATTCTGATAACCCATTCTCTTGATCATGTATGGATATTGCTGGGAGAAAATAGATGTTGGTCACTCCTGGGACTAATTAAGGTACACTGTAAATTTTTAAAAGAGCACTTTAATACTGCACATGTTCATTAATCCATTTATTTTATTAAATCTAGATCAAAGCACCAGCAAAATAAGATTTTCAGTTACTGGAGATGATATCCTACCCCTACTGTATGTTCCCTTACCCCTGATGGAATGTTTTTAGAAACTCTTGACTAGTGGACAGTCTGGACTAATACAAATTTTCATTAAAAATTCCAGTAGCAGGAGGAAGGTGTAACATCTCAGGAGAATATTTTGAAAGAGGCTCCACATCTGAATTGAAAATAGTCATAATTTTATTCTACCAAACGTCAGCCAGAGAATTCTGCATAATAAATGAAGGTTAATTCTCCAATATCCGATGCCCAATGAACCATGGTTTTCAATAAGAGCCAGTGGCCGACAAAATTCGCTGGCTCTTTCACATGAACTCGCCACCTACTTTAAATACAGTATTCATGTGAGGTCACCGAATAAAAAAGCCAAAATTTGATGATGTCTGTGTTTTGTTCAAGCACTCCAGAATGCTGGAAATGCATTCTAAGAGGCCCAGATTTCAACATTTTTACAGGAGGGTTGTGGTGTTGGGGGGGGGCATGCCCCCGGAGCCTCCTAGAATCTCTTGCCTTCAGTACTTGCAAGTTGTGCCTTTGGTGCCAGTTTTTTCCTTCCCGGCCTACTCTAAAGCTTTTGCCAACTATTTATAACCTTATTGAAAACCTTGATGAACACCCTGCTAATAAATCATAAATGTCACTGTCTGCTCTAAGTTCAACCTATATGTGCACCTGTACCCCTGCATTATAAATAATTATTGGATGAGGTTTTTTATGATTTAAATAATGAAAGTGGAGGTATTATCAGCTGAGCCAAAGGCCAAGGCCGATAACACTTATTGAGACCTTGATTATTTGGGATATCACAAAAACTGAATCTACAAAATAATATTATTGTTTTGAAGAAAATAATCTCATGGAACACGGTTTGACATTGCTCTTTGAAATCATGCATAGTGTGTGCAATCTACAGATTAGTCAGTAATCTGCTAGCAAATAACTGACAAATGTGTAGGTTGGGTGGATTTCCAAAATTAACTCTAGGCTCTTAGCCATAATACAAAGACAGATAGTGAGTACAATGTATAAGGAGTCTTTTTTATTTTGAATTCCCATACCCTCTACAGGTCACTCTTAATATAGGGACCATGCAATTAGGGTTTGAACCTCTGGATATTTGTTGTTGACACATCATGTGTTACACTGAAAATTTATTTTGTATGCTTGCCAATACACCGTTTCTTCCCTCGGTTAATTCCCATGGGATTAAATACATGTACATTGTACATGTATGAATTTCAAAACTTATGATTTTATTATCATTTTTAGGTAAGAAGCCCAGTGAAAGAGCCAAAGTTATGTTTCCTTATGAACCTGAAAATTCAGATGAACTTAATTTAGTTGAAGGTGACATTATCACTATACTCAACAAAGACGTTCCTGAGAGTGATGGTTGGTGGGAAGGAGAGATCAATGGTAAAGTTGGCATGTTTCCTAACAACTTTGTTGAACTGCTACCTGCTGAGGAAGAAGATACGACGTCAGTGAAAGACAAAGTAATAATATTGATACTATTCATACCTTTTTGAACACGCGTATAAATTTGCTAGCAAGCGTGACTGACAAAAAAATGATATTTTACCTCAGTTATGGTAGGATACATGCAACAGGGCCCTATTTTGCTTTCTCTCTGTAAACAATTCAATTTCACCAGCAAGTGATAAAATCCTTCATATTTGCTTCTCAACATTTTGTTGTTCACAAGTTCAGAGCACTGGGCTTCCTTATCTTTTTTGTTGCAAAACCCTTTTCTTTTTCACTTAAAATGCCTTGAAATGCAATTTTCACATCAGAGCTCCCAAATTTCAACTTTTCCCAGGGAATCCCCTCGTGGAAGGGAGCTAGCGCTATAATGATCAGCTTGATCAGCTGTGCCATGTGACTGTCTTTTTTTTCCTCCTACTGTAAATTTTCTGGAGAACCCTGCTACAATTCACTTCTCAGTAATTGGTTTCGCTTTTAAGATTTTCATAACAAAAAAGGGATATGCTCAAACCTCCATGAAGCTTTTACCCTTGAGGAAGAGATAACTGGCCTGCTAATAATAATTGTTTAATAGTGAGAACCAGTTCTAGTAACTTGCTGCTTTATAGGAGGACGCTTAAGGGCTTGTCATTTATTACCTGCAAGGTGGTGGTGGAGTAGGGGGTGTGGGGGGGTGGGGGGTAAAAGGGTCAGGCGGCCATTTTGCTGGGGAGTCATTTTCAAAATTTTGAAATTGGTTCTGGGGGATCATTTTCAGATAACAGATCATCACCTGGGGGATCATTTCATGAAAGAAGGTCAAAGCAGTAATGAGCAAGGATTGAAATTGAATGTAACAGCTGTAAATAGTTCACATGGATCATAAAAGATGGCTGTAGATAAAGTATGTGGTGGGATGGTGAACTTCAGCTCGATTTGTAGCCAGAATATTTGTAGCTTCCACAGCAATCGGGTGCTCAAGGAGATTCAACTGTATTCTTAATTCAAACATTCTTCTTGCTATTGTTATTATTCATAATTATTGATTTTATTGTTTTGTTTTTTCAGGCTCGTGTTGCACCTGCCACAGCTAAGAAAGGTGTACCTGTGCTACCAGTCAACTTAGATGAACTTAAAAAATCACCAAGTGAGTATTCCTACACTAATGGGCAATGAAACTGATGTCAAAGCTCTAAGTATATTATTATCACTTTGTCGGGCATTGTGGCGCATTTTGCGCTAAAATATAATTTAGCCCACTGAAATATAACAGTAAAAAGACTGGAATAAACAGTCATACGATAATTACAAGCAGCCAATCACAATGGAGAATCCATTGCAATGTTCATGCCACCGTTTTCTTGCATCGTTTGTCAAAGAAATCATGCTGCCATTTTCAAAGTTCAAATCATGGCTCAAAACACAACCAATAATTTGTAAATTCTTAATCACTTCAGCTAGAGGAAGAAGATCTACAAAAGTTAGAGAAGCTTATGATGTAAAATATAACGCCTGTAGTATGTCCATAGTCAGTTCAACCAATTATGCCAAAACTGTTAGTTTAAAACATTTGTACGTGTACACTTATGTTTCTCTTCTGGGATAACTTTGAAAATCGATGCTTTTTAGCTTGAGGCTTCATGTTTGTGTTTTTGTGTTCGTTCACAAAAATGAAAACTGGCAGTGTTTTTCCGCCCTCTGTCATGCCACTTTCCACCATGCCTTGATCATGTGCTGTAATGTATCACGAGTTGGGTACATTGCTTAATGTATCACGATCGGATACATTTGATTTTAGTCAAGGCTATGTGACCAAGAATCAGCCAATGGCTGTCCCTGTTTAGTTGACTAAAAGTCTAGGAATATAAGATTGTGCTTTATACCAACTGTCAAATTATGCAAAGAAAAAATGGCTACTACAATTTTTCATTCGAGAATAGAATAACATGATGTATATATTTTTTGATTTTAGTTTTGATTTCCTTTCTCTCCATTTGGGGGTTGGGCAAAGCGACGGATGACATTTCCGACTACTTTTACGGCGCTTTTAAACGCTGGAACTGGCTGGTCGGATCAGTCATTTTGAAATTGCCCACTTACAACAACTCTCTGTTAGCAGGAGTTTGACTGAATCACGTCTGTTTCATTACCATGGTAGAAACACATAAAAAACCTGCTCCATCTGTCTCTGTAAAAGATGACTCCGACTCAGAAAAAACAGCACACAAAGTCACACCAAAAGAACCACCCAAGAAGCCTGTTTCATCTCACCCTGCTAAAGAAGAACCCAACGTGGATCATACCCCAGAAATGGCCCACCCAGCACCTGCAAAAAAGCCAGTGGCACCACAGAAGCCTACTCTCCCACCCAAGAAACCGTTACCAATAAAGGCTAAGAAACCAGATATTATAGGACGAAAACCAGAGAAAAAAGCAGATACAGAGAAATCGGCACCTCTTAAGAAAACTGCTGAAGATGCCGTAGATGGTTCGCACGTTAAAGAGATGTCACATGTACAAGAAAGGTCAAAACCGGTTGACAAAAAACCAACACCTGAGATTAAGACAAGTGATACTGGAGAAGGTATGTTCACTGCTTCATAATATTATAAGAAAAAATGCGTAACATATAATTTCACTGTTTTTGCTTACTCCAAGCAAATACCAGAGGCAGATTGCATAAATTTGTTGGCACATTTCCAAAGTGTGCAATGGCTGTAGATAAAAGGACAAAAATGAAAGGGTCAGATGATGTACCTAAAAAGGACTATACCAGAATCATTTATTATGGAGGTAGAGATGACTGGAAGTTTCTTTAATTTTGATTATAAAGCATAAAGGTACATGTATAGAGAAAGTATCCGTATAAAAAATGCAAATGTCAATCATTCTGTGTTGGAGTATGTTCTCCTTTAGATATCAAATAAGCCGCCTCAGCCACGCCCAGATTGGCTTTCTTTTAAGAATTTTCTTTCTAATTTTTAGACTATCCCCGTGAGTCACTATAACATGGGGTTCTACCCCCCTCCCCCGTAGTACTAAGTGTTCATCTTTTAAAGGTCTCTCTTAAAGGCCGATTTATACGGTACGATTTTTTGCTTACGACTATCGTGCGCGTGTAGCATATATCATGACTTTTGACCATCCACACGCGCACAAGTTACGCTTACGACATCCTCAATGTGTAGTACGGATGTCGTGGGTCTAATTTACCCCACACGATCTGTCGTAAAGTCGTGACGCATGCCAGCCGCGCACGATAGTCGTAAGCAAATATATATATATGATTACTTTCAAAACTGGTAATAATTCCAAACAGTGCTGTCCTCATAGAAAAAGACTGTGTCCTTTTGTTCAATTGTTAGTTGACTGTTTCTTGTTCTCTGTTACAGCCCCCATATCGTTTGATGATCCGCCAGAAACAGAAACGTTAAATCACTTGACTGCTAACAGAGCCAAGGTGCCACAGAAGAGGCCGCCATCTAAGGTTTTTGCAGAGTATTATGTCCCATCCACACAAAAGCTTAAACATGATGTTTAAAAGCTGTTTTTTCTTTACTGAAGCTGCTCACTGTACTTTTATTGATTGCAAATTTAAGGCAATTGTGTTTTTTGGAGAATGGAGAGTAGACGTTTTGAAATTTTGAAATTGGAATTTTCTTGCATCTTTGGCGCTCGCTTCATGTGAGACTGGCGGCCAAAACTCTCACACGCGCAAAAACAGTTCCGCCAGCTACGCAGGCTAGTAAGTGGATACACATGAGTACCCGATATGTGACTGTGTACATAGTTACTTCATTTCGCCCTACCATACGTCCCCGAATTCTCGCTTGGCTACTTGAAAAAAGGGTGTGTTCACATTAGTGCCAAGCGAGTACCGCAAGTAGCAAGTGTGAACGTCGCCATATTCTAGTCCAAGTTGATACGTAACTGATTCCCTTTTGTTACAGGAAGGGCGGTTAGATTCGGCTCGTCTCAGTGGAAATTTAGATGACCATCTTACCGTAAGTTGCAATGTTCATATGCTGTTGATAGTTAGTAAAGCGGGGCAGCCAACAACCGAATCTTTCCGAACACCTCAGATTTGACTCAAATGTGTTCCCTATGCTTGAGCAGCCTGTTTGTTTAATTTGGAGCTGCCTTAAAAACTAATTATCTGTTCGAGTTTCTTAGGGAAACTTTTGGTCGAATCGAAAGTTTTAGGTTGTTTTGTCATCCGAAACTGTTACCTACCCAGAAGGATGCGATCGAAAGTTCCAGGAAAAGGAGTAGCAACTTTCATTAGAAAATTTAAGGGGACGTTCTGTCTTTATACCGAGATTTTCAGGAGACCCATTTTTTAGCTATAATGTTGATATCTTGGTAATAAAATGTAAAAAACACAACCTCCGGTAATCGTAGGTAAGTTACTGTACGAAACATTGAATATCTTAGACGAATGGAACGGTAATCCAGAAATGCTTAGCCTAAATCTCGAGGCAATATTTGCTCCTTTGAAGAGTTATTTTACAGAAAAAAGTCTTTGGCTCCCCGTGAAAAGAAAAGAAGAAGAAGAACAGGTTACACCCCAGCCCTAGGACCTCATGACTCGTGTGCACCTTCACCCTTTAGATTTTTGAGGTAATTGTAATCTGCTGTATTTCTTGTAGGAAACAATCAAGCATCCTCCTTCACGTCCCAAAGAACCACCCAAAGAGCCTGCATGGAAACGTGATGCAAGAGAAGCTCGAGAAAAGAAACAGCCGCTAGAAGAAAAGGTGGGCAGGGAACAATACGGAAAAAAGAGACTCTCGTAAAGGCCGCGCGAGAGACCTCGCGCGTCTCTTCGACCCTGTTTACACGGGTCCGGACAAATTTTTGAACGGACCAATTTTCTACCTGTGCAAACCGTTTACACGGAGCCGTGCAAATTGTGGTACAGATTACAGTATTGTTTGTCGTTCAAACACTTACACGGTTCCGCGGGTTTATAAAGGAAAGCGGGGGCGAAGGGAGTGATGGGAAAAGGAGCTCTACGCTCGTTCCCATCCTTCCTCTCTCGCGCTTCTCGCTTGTCTCGCGCGGCCTGTCTCGCGTGCCCACTTGTTCCCCAATCCCCTCTTAGCCTTGGGAAAGCGTGTGGAGGAGGCAGATACCATTCGTTTGCCAAGTGTGTTCAGCAAAGAACACTTACAAAAATTTAATTAAGATGGTTCATCAAACGAAGCCCAAAAAGTTTTACTGTAATATATCAAGCATAAGACGTAGTGTTTCATCACCAGATGAAACACCGAGAAGACTGTTGTAAATACGACGCGCAGCGGAGGTGAGATGTTTCATCGGTTGATGAAACATGTTTCGAATGCTTGATATTACTTCTTAAAGAAAATGATTTTAGAAGGAGAAATTAAGGATGCAAAAATGAGCAGTTTTTCTTCTGATTTCCAAACACTCATTAAACATAAATTTCCTTTGTTTTTTCTTTATGAATTATTAATGAGTTTGAGAAGTTGACTGTCATGAACGAGTAAATTAAACCTGCGCAGAATGATCTGGGATCGTGAAATTGAAGACTGTGTGTTTTTAGGTTATCTTTGGATGGCTTAGCTTGAAATTGGAAAGTGTTCGAAAGATTTTTTCAGTGTTGGGTAGCCTCCGGGACGCATCCCTCGAGGGTGAAATGATCACCGACCCAAGCATTTCAAGAGCTATTTGTGGTACTTTTAACTACATTGGTATTCGCTGGTTGTTTGCCATGTATGCATGTACTTGGGCAAAACGGTCGGTTCACGGTTTGGGCAAATGGTAAGCAAAACTCAGGCCTGGTAAATTTCGTTCGGTAATCGCGTTTCCCTTTGAAACTGGTATCAAAGATGCGTTTAAAGAAATGGAACACTAATTCAGTTTTTGGAACATTTCGACCGGGAAAATAGCACTACCTCTTCAGACATCTCATTGCTCCCGGAAACGTTCCAATTGGAACGACCCTAAAGGTCATGTTCCATCCACTTTCCAACCGGAATTTGCGGAAACTTTTTGTAAATTCGCCACTTAAGAAAACGAAAAGGGAACTGGAGCCGAAATATGTCGCGCAATTGTTTCTGGGATTGTTACAGGCCACGCGCCGTTCATTTATTGGCCGCCAATCAGTATTTTCCCTGTCCATAGTAACAGTCCCAGAATTCAATGCGTATGTTAACTCGGCCCACACTCGGTCTTGTTCCTAAAGTGGCGAATTATTGATTCCGGTGTTTTTTCCTTTCCCTTATTAAGGCTGCACTGCCGATATTGGCCTCCAAAACTGACGCGTTAGAAAAGCGAAAGTCAGTTCACAAGGAGGAGACACATGAGCAGACGCCACCGGTGCAAAAAGTAGAGCCTTTTACGACAACGAGCCCAGCCGAGGTGGAAAAGTTACGAAAAGAGGTGTCTGGCCTGAGAGAGATGCTGGACAAAATGGAGAAGAAGTTTAATGAAAGTTTAAAGAAACAAGAAGAGAAATTTATTCGAGAGATCGAGGTGCTCACTAATGACTTTGATGAAGAGAAGAAGCAGAACGCAGCAGAGCTTGCCGCGCTGAAGGTGGAACTGAACATAATGAAGAGACGCCAATCTCGGTTGAATTTAGATGACACTCAGTGATAATAGCCGATAGGTTGTGCTAAGCGAAGTGAATGAGATTTAGTTTGATACATTCAAATAGGCGTTCATTCATATAGCTTAGGAAATTTTTAAAAAAATACTCTAGAATTGTTTCAAAATACATCGAATTGTCACCTGAGGGTCTTTAAATCAATACGAAATAGAGTATTAGTAAGGTAGCATCTAGACTTAATACACGTCGTTTTCACAAACTTCTTTACAGAATCTACAGTCAAGGTAGTCACCCTCTGTTAAGCCTTCCTCTCCTTACTCCGGTCCAACCTCCGGTCTCACAAAGGTGTTCAAGTTAAATACAAGGATCACAAATTCATAGAAAAGTAGAGTAACTTGCTAAGTTTCCAAAACTAGACAAAGGATGAAAGAAAAAACAAATAGCATACTGGGAAAATTATGTCCTTTGCTACTAAAGAAGTCTTTTATACATCTTCGTTAAAAGCTCGAGGTGATTCCGAATGTTTTCATCGTCTCAGAAAACAAACCGAGCCGTCCGGGCATTTCCTTGGATCAGGTTGCCCAGCAACATTTCCACTTAATTCTTACATGGGTCTAACATGAGGGGCACCCAACGACGTTTTTCTTTAAAATAATTGTTCAGTGTTCGAGGAAGCAAATATTATCCAGAAATTTCTAAAGCTGTTAGTTACCTATCAGGGTAACTAAGAGTTTCGGAGAAGACCAAAAAACCACTTAGAACTTTCGAGAGAACCCAAATTTCCCCAAGATATCTAGCCTCCCACGCAGGCGTTTTTAGGGGAGCTCGTTTTATCCTGTGGGGAGGGATGAAAGACGAACTTCCCTAAAAACGCCTGTGTGGGAGGCGATACTACAAGATATCCGAACAGATAAACAGTTTTTAGCTCAACTCCAAGTTAACCAAACTAAAGCATAGAGAAATTTATTTGAGACCTTCTGACGTATTTGGAAACATTTGGTTGTTGGGTGCCCCTGTCATCGTCACACAGAGAGGAGACGACAGAATTATTGCAGGTTATTTGGTCTTCATCCTTGAAGCAAAAATTTAACTTGACGAGAAATGTCAGTTGTAGGAAGTTATCATTTTTATTATCGGAATATCATCTGTATATATATATAAAAAATGCAATTGAAAAGTATTTTGGTCTCTCGTGATTTCAATGTTGTTGTTGTACCTTCTCGCATACTGTGTGTATACAGGATTAGCCTGCGTGCAGACGATAACTAAACTCTGATTAGTACCGTCTGCGAAACAACGCAGAGATCCTTGTTCTGGACCTCCAAAGGACTCAACGAATTACCGGAAGTGCGTTTCGAATTTCCCTTCAACCTGATTGGCAATCACGACAAACAAAACAAAGGCCTTTTTTAACTGGCCAATCGTGGTGCGTACTCAAATCTGGGTACACAGCTGGAAGTCCAGAACAAGGATTTCGGCGCTGTTTCGCAGACGGAGTTAACCAGAGTTTAATTTCGTCTGCGCGCAGGCTAATACAGGATTGGCTGAAAAATATCTAGGGTTGCTTTCTCGACCAATCCTCAATTTTTTGTGTGATTTTTTAGCCTGTGCATCAGGTGATAGTTCTCTGGTGAGAGTGCGAAGCTCCGGGCACAAAGTGAAGAAAGAAAAGTACTCCTTACCTTTCGTGGCTAAGCTTTTTCAGCCAATAGTATCACTGCTTAACTGACAGACGACCAATAACATCGCGACATATCAGGTCATTAACTAGAGTTTAAAATCAACTGACGCTATACGACTCACTTAGACTCTGAAGATTACTGCCGCACAGGTTGTGGAAACGTCAGTCACTGTCAGTAACAGTCCTATCCAGGACTACGTTAACCCGGACGATCATACTCAACCTACTTATAAAATGACTCCTGGGTTCAACCTTTCACAAGATGCTCCTTCTTTTAAAGGCTATACGCCACTTGCACATCTTCCATAATGCACCTTATTTGCCCCCCCAAATTTTGCATAACCTTTGTTTTTCACAGCCGCCCCAAGAGAAATTGAAACAATGCTTATGCAAAATTTTGAGGGGGCAAGAAAATGATTTTTCATTCTCACGCAAGTTAAACTCAATTTGCACTTAGCCTCGTCATGAAAGTGAGAGTTTTGGACCTCGCAGTACTCTGGCCTATCTTAGGGCAAAGTTGGGAGAATGGGGACAAGGTGCCCAAACCCTTCCTTAACTCTTTTGTCCTATTATGCATGGTTCACCTGGAATTTACCTGGAATAGGCGAAATTCGTATTCCCGGGTAGCCTGAAATTCATCCGACAACAACTCGTGTCTTTTTCGGCGTTATTTTTTATATTTACTCTATCGTAGATTGAAAAAAAAGGAGACGAATTTCGTAGGAAGAAAAACATGGAAATTGAAAGCCACGGTGAGAAAATGAGAAATGCTAGCGCCAGCAAGGTGAAAATGAGCAGCAGTGAAAAATAAAAGCGAACGTGAACACAGGAAACAAAATATTGGGTAAGCACATACGACAATTCGTCCATAAAAATAGTGTGTAACTAGGAAGTTTGACGTTTTAGGGCCTGTTTACATGGAGGTGGGGGACCCCAGGTAGGTGAGGTAACCCGCTAAGGTGGGGTAACCCACCTGTCCATATAATCTCTCAAGGCGGGTAGCCCGGTCTGCCAGACCGGGTAACTCTCTCAGCTGGGGTGAAATTTTGCCACGTAAACGTTTCAAGGTGGGTAACCCGCCTATCAGTGGTCGGATTCGCGATATTGAATTCGTGCTAAATTCACTTTGGCGGTGGCTTTGCATCATTAGTAAAGGTAACAATAGAATGCCACAGCACTGAACCTTGCAGCAAGAGCAGCACGTGAGTGTAGAAGAGCATTAATCACAAAGAAACGTGGTTTGGCAGCATTTTTCTTGTTTACATGCTTAGCGACCATTCAATAATCTTGAGAAAGTGTACCCCGAGATGGCGGGGTTGTTAAGATTGCCTGTAAAGGAGCTAGAGTTACTCACCTGTCTGGGGTCCCCCACCCTAGTAAACATGTACAGGCCCTTACTCATATTTCGAGCTGGGGCTACCTGTGGAGAGAGACGTCTGGGTACGAGGCAGAAGGAAAATCATCGAACTTAACTAATGATAAATCCTCGTTCCCCGTGAAGCCTGAATAATGGACAATGATTTAACTGGAGGGCAGTTAACACTAACACGACCCTATGTTGATAAACAAGGTGCGATCAAACTTGCAGATTTATTGTTTGGTCTTCGTATTTCCGACCTTTCACATGCCAAGGAGTTTGTCAGTTACGACGACCGAAATTTCTATTTGAAAGGTGTTTTGCTTAGCCAGGAGAACAAACAAGGGAATTTCAGTGAAGATGAATTCGTGTTGAAGATATTAAACGACGTCGATTCACAAAACATTTCATACGTTAATGCACAAAACACGCTTTTGCTTCATTTGAAAGAACATGGCTTTGTTTGCCCAGTTCCAGTGAAGTCCTTAAGTGGTGAACTCACAATGGAATGCCAGTTGTCCTCTTATGGTTTAAGTGGTAGTAAAGAAAACCCCAAAATACAGGAGATCCCACGGGAAATTAACGCCGTTCGACTTCTGAGCTACGTGCCCGGGAAGCTTCTGAAAGATGTTCGTTGCACGAATGATCTCCTCTTCAATCTGGGTCGTTACATCGCGAAGATGAATAAAGCTTTGCAGGTAAAATACTTTTTTATACGCAGTGCGGTTCGCTATAAAGTTTTGCGTCGATCAAATTGAAACTTCAACATCCCTCTCGCCACAAAGTGGTGTTTTTTCACACCCCGGGGGACTGTTTGGCAATTATTTCTCGAGCGCGAATGGGCTCTGAGTGAATAGCCCGTGAGGCCGAAGACCTCAATAATGGCCCTATTTAATAGGATATTTTGCTAAAACAATAAGCCATTTGCACTAATAGGTTATTGCCTTAGAAAAACGATTAGTGGGTCATATCTTAAATTAAATAATATTGATTTGGTTTTTCAAATCATTCTGAGAAACGTATCGCTCCAATTCACAGGAATTGTTTACCTTCATTTGCATTAATTTGTACTCTTCGCTTGCAAAAACGTGGCTTTCAATACGAAACAGGATATCTCCCGGGCTTTAAGTTTTCCTCGTGTGCTCTTTACATTTTCCTTCTGAATCCGATTGACTGCAAACAAAATAGCCTCGATCCGAGAGACAAACTTGAAATCAAGGCAAATGCAGTGATAAACTTACATACTGATACAAACATATTTACATCCAAGATAGCTCAAAAGCGGATAGCATATGGTCACGTACGCGACTGAATTAGTGTGCTGCGAAGCCTGGTGTCTTTGCAGCAATAAGGCTGGTTACCGGCTCAAAGTGGTGTTGTGTTCACACCTCAGGTACCCAATATGAAACTGAGTGCATGTCTGCCCCATTTTGCCTTGTCAAAGGCTACTTCGAAATGTGACTAATTTGTATTCAAAGGAGTGGATTGGTTTTAAGCAGAAACACGGACATTCAGGTCCCTAGTGCTAGTCCAAATTGTGGTATGGGTATTTGAAGAAAGGATGTGTTCACATTAGTGCCTAGTGAGTAAAGACATGCCTGGGAACCTTGTGTGAACTACATGTTTCATTGAACTGTTAAGTGTCTATTTGTATTGCTAATAGCATAATTTGTAGTGATATTTGGCATAAAAACCACGAGTGATATTTCAAAATTGTTATACAAAATTATAAATTTGAAACAATTTTGAAATATCACAAGTGCTATTTATGCCAAATATCACATGCAAATCGTGCTATTATTTGTTTATACTACTACCCACACAAGGTTTGTCATTTTCACATGTAGGTATTTCAAATTAAGCTGAAATGCCACTGCTCTAAGCCAACCAAACTGCAGAAATTTCTAACGTAGCAGTATAAACAGTGGAACCTCAATATAACAAAGGGCCAAGGGACTGACAAAATTTGTTTGCTATAAAGAGGTTTTATTATATCAAGGTTCTTTTTCATATGTTTTACTATTACAGGGGTAATGAAAGTCATTCATTATACCAAGGACTTAGTTATATAGAGGTTCGTTATATCGAGGTTCCACTATACATGGTTGCTACATGTCAGGAAATGGTCAGCCAAAACAATTCTTCAAGGTCAGGGAAAAGTCAGGGAATTTCACTTTCTTGTCAGAGAAAATTTAAATATTTGAAAGAGGTCTGTCGTGGAAAAGTGAAATTTTAAGAGTACATCTTTTCCCGCCAATGTTATTTTGTTCTAACACTTAAAATTCTGAAAATGAAGAAATGATCGCCGCAGTGAACACAATTTATGCAATTGCATAAAGAAGCCTGAAAAAAAAAAATTCAGGACTTCAACGGGGTTTGAACCCGTGACCTCGCGATACCGGTGCGATGCCCTACCAACTGAGCTATGGAGCCACTGATGTTGGGAGCAGGTCAATTGCTGGTTCATATGTTCCCGTGAAAGAAATGAGTGTTAATGATATATGAAATAAATCATATATGAACTGTGGAAATGAAATGAAAATGAACAAATGATCGTTGCAGTGAACACAATTTATGCAATTGCATAAAGAAGCCTGAGAAAAAAAAATTCACGACTTCAACAGGCTTTGAATCCGTGACCTCGCGATTTTTTAGGCTTCTTTACACAATTGCATATAAAATTGCATTCACTGTGACGATCATTTCTTCATTTTCATTTCATTTCCACAGTTCATATGATTTATTTCATATATCATTAACACTCATTTCTTTCACAGGAACATATGAACCCACAATTGACCTGCTCTTAACGTCAGTGACTTCATAGCTCAGTTGGTAGAGCATCCTACTGGTATCGCGAGGTCACGGGTTCATACCCCGTTGAAGTCCTGAATTTTTTTCAGGCATCTTTACACAATTGCATAAATTGCGTCCACTGCGACGATCATTTCTTCATTTTCATTTCATTTCCACAGTTCATATATGATTTATTTCATATATCATTAACACTTAAAATTCTTTTGTACATTTTATGAAAATAAATCATGATGTATTGTTAGTTTATTGTTCATGAAATTGAACAAAAAGTCATGTTAAAGAACTTTCAATTCATATACACTGTAAATAACTTGCTGAAAGCATAAATAAATGGGTGGAAGGGATGGCTGTAAGGAAAGGGTTGAGTCCATTGTCAGGACTAATTGATAAACTGTTTATTCAGTTGGTCGGGGAAATGTTACATTTCTTAGGAAGTCAGGGAAAAATCTAGGGATTTTCAGAAACCTCTCACCGTGGCAACCATGATTTAGTGTCTGTACATGCAACAAAAATGCAATAGAAATGGTTGTTGCATCATTCAATAAATTTTCCAAAGATTTTACATTTTAATGATGGGCACTCAAAAGGTTTTTTCTTTCTAGTCGGTTGAAACCTGAGGTTTTTTTTTTTGGATGTCAATCAAGTGCTATCATGGTTTTTCCCACCCTCTGCTTGTGAAAGTTCTCTCATATTGTTCTTCTCAAAGAACAAAGACAAAGAGCTCAGGATTCTCTCTGATAGCATGATGAATGATAAGAAGTTCTACGAGTTAACACTGAAAACAGTCTTATTTCAAAGGACAACTTTTTTTGTTGTTCAATACTACAGAAAGTTATTCATGACAAACCCGTTCACTTCAAGCATGCCTTTAGGACCCTTTAGATTATAGTCATTTTATACCACTTTTGCCTTCTACTGTATAGTGATAAAATGTTTGACTAATGCAAGGTTTGTGGTTTCATCCAGAGTTTTCAACATGCGGGCCTTAGTGATCTAGTGAAACAAGAATGGGACTTGGCTCAGTTAACTAACCTTGAAAGCTACATATCTGTTGCAAGCCAGGGTGTTAAAGACTCAAAACCACTTCAAGATGTCTTCAACATATTTGTCAATAGAGTCATTCCAAAGCTTGTTAATCTAGATAAACATGTCATCCATGGTGACCTCAATGATGAGAACATACTGGTCGCTCCTAGTCAGCGTGGTGATATTCATGAAATAGCAGGTATAATTGATTTTGGGGATACCTCAGATTCCTACAGAGTGTTTGAAGTTGCCATATGTATGATGTACATGATAATGCTCCGAGTGCAACAAGGTGATACGCATCAAGAAGCAATCAGATCTGCCGGCCACTTGTTGAGAGGTTATCAAAGCGTTTACAGCCTCTCTCACTCTGAACTTGACCTCTTGTATTGGTCAGTTGCTGCTAGGTTCCTTCAGTCTTGTGTAATAGGAATATATAAACAAACTCTTGAACCAGAGAATGTATACTTGAGCCAAACTTATCACTTAGGATTTAAAGTTCTTTCTTCGTACATTGCCTCTTCAGAAGAAGAAACGCTTAATTCTTGGTTTTCAACTTAAATAAATAGTAGGGATGTTTTAGCCTTTTTTTTTTGGTAGGAATACATGAAAGCTGATGACCTCATAGCCATTTGTCTTTATCTCATGAATAAATTGCGGTGGAATTTCATTAAGATTTAGTCATGTGCTATTTTTTGGTGGTCTAACCGGTTGGACAGGTTGTTTAGTTATTTTTAGCTCGATGAATATAAAGTAAGACAAGTGTTTATTGTTTTCCCACCACCACCGCCAATTAGATAGGTTATATAAATGGCCCGTAATTCCTTTTCTTCCTTTGGCCTGATTTTGTCTTGAATTGAGCTTTTTGGGCCTGGTTTTGGCCTGTTTGATCTTCTCTTTAAGCAGTCTATTTGATGGTGGTGGTGGTGGTGGTAAAGCAATAGAAATGTGGTGTTGGTGTTGGTGGAAGTTAAACTGAATAAGAAAAGGGTTGATGGTTGCGGAGGAGGGAAAACAATAATATGTAATGGTGGTGGTTGTGGCGGAGGGAGAACAATAGAATTGTGGTGGTGGGGGAAGTGAAACAAAAAAGTGTTGGTGTTGGTGCTGGAGGGAAAACAGTAGATATGTGATTCTGGTGGTGGAGGGAAAACAATAGACAAGTGGTGTTGTTGGATGGTGAAAGTTAAACAAAAAGAGGGAAGGGATGATGGTGTTAGTGGAGGGAGAACAATGGAAATGTGATGGTGGTGGTGGTAGAGGGAGATCAATAGAAATGTGATGATGGTGGTGTTGGTGGAGGTAAAACAATAGAAATGGCATGGTGGTGGCAGTGGAGCGAAAATAGTCAATTTGAGTGAAGGCAAAATAACTAAATTGTGTAGGAGAAGGAAGGGGAGTGGGATAAGTAAAAAACTGTGTTTAGTACTAGAAAGTGCAAGTTTCCTTCAAATTTATTAATATGCACGATTTGCGCGCCAAGAATCAGTGAACCGGAATTTGAACAATTTTCGTTCTGCAATGGACAAAGAAAGGTGTAGAAAGTAGAACTTGCATAAATACGTTACGGCTCATTGATTTTGAATCACAGGCGAGTAAACAATTATTCCTCCGACAACATGAATCAACCAATGGACACTTCTTATTTTTTAGTCAGCCAATCCAAAACGAAGAAATTCATCATTATCAACCTAAAAATAAGCTAAGAAGCTGCCGTTATTATAGCGGAGCTCCAGACGCGCGCGAAGCCCCATAGCTGGGTTAGCCTGCGTAGCTGGCGGGATAAGCGGGCGAGTGCTGTATTTTTTGGCGGCGCAGCCGCGTGAAGATTGGGAGCAAGTTAAATTGAAATCCCGCCTGCCCTAATTCTTTGGTATTTTGAATAGTCCGACAACCAGGCGCAAGGGAGTTTCTGATTGGCTGAGAGGCGATAAAACGTCAATCAAATGATAATGTAAATCACGTGGAAATGAAATAAAATTAAGCAAGCTAACAGGCTCCACTCCACCATAAGATTTGCGGTTGGACTCCTCGAAAGACATTTTTTGACGGAAATAGGTCTCAAAATTTTATAAGACACGTCTTCTGCTATCCTTAATTCAGAAATGGCTGAAACTAATCTCGTTTTACGACGGGTAATTGGCTCAAAAACGAAAGTGCATCAGACAGTATTGCCTTTTGTCACACAGTGCAAACTCCCTGATCAAGCATCAAACATCAAGACAACGCTTGATCATTGAAAACTGGCAACTTAGAAAAGCGGGTGGAGTATGCTGTTTTAGTGTGGAGGATTCTTCGTTTTGACTGAGCAAATATTATTTTTGCCGACTGAGAAGTCATAAGGCTGATGTGCTTCCTGTGCATTGATTTCCTGTGGTTTTTGTCTCTGACAGAATTTGACCTCTGAGGCGGTTTAGAGAATTCTTTGACCTCTTTTGAAGCGTTAAGCTTTTTATTGCTGCTAAATGACCGTTTAGTAAAGGTTTTAGTTTCTTCAGTTTGGAGTTACTGCAGAATACCCCTCCTGGATCCTGAATAACTTGCTACATGTAGTTGTTTTGTCCGTGACTTGATTTTCGGCTAATGGTTTGTCACGCTTGGCCCGGCTCGTTTGCAGTTCAGTTTCGTATTACACCGCTCTTCCTGATTGGGCGATCAAATAGTTCCAACCAAGGTGACAAATGTGTGCGGCATTCAATAATAATAAAATGTGGCAGGCGAGATTTCACCTTGCGGCTTCTTAGTAGCCACGTGACGGTCACTAGTTTCAACTGATCGCATGCTCAACTCTAAGTGGATTTCGTTGCGATGGTGACAAGATTATTGTTTGAAGTAAATTATAAATTTATTACGGGAGCTTCGCTTTTAGCCTTGGCTAATCTATATATTAGTGTATACGTGTGGTTGTATACTCGGAGCCATTGCAACTTGACAATGTATCTGCGAATTCTCGACAACTTTATTTGTATCCGGTTCCGGACTTTCAGATTGCAGGGACGGCGCGCAAAGAGATGTGATCAAGGAAAACATCAGAGGAGTGGGGTAGGGAGTGAGAGCGAAGGAACGGCTTTCCATAATATCGCCCTTTCCTTCTCCTCCTCCTCCTTATGTATTTTTGACGCTCTCTGAAGGTCTGGAACCAACTACATACACCTCAGAACCAATCAAAATTCAGTAAGTTGTGAAGACAAAGTCGTCCAATTTCAGAAGCCTAGAAATAAAACCTTTCAAAAGCATGACTTCCCCCTCGCAAATATCTTTGAATTTGATTGGTTGTGTATTATATGGAGTCAGAAGCCCCTTACTCGGAGGATCTCGGAGCGATCAACTCCCACACTAGGCTTATGACAAGGCCTTTCCAGACACCAGTCTATTCTTAGACCCATTTTAGAGTACTTTATCCCGCGAGAACAGGGCCTTTACTCCTTTAAGTGGCTTATCGCAAATATAAACTGTAAAAAAAAAAAAAAAAAAAAAAAAAGGAAAGGAATGGTAAGAATCTGATAAAAAAACCTGTGAAAAAAGCATTTTCCGCGTACGTAGATTTCGCTGACTAGTTTATAAAAAAAAATAATTGTGTATTTTTGTGGTAAAAGAGAAGTTATAATTGCCTGTTTT